AGATCAGGGCCCACAGAACATACTTACAAAACCCCACTGTAGAGAACAGACAAGCCGACGTCGAGTCCAGAAACAAATATAACGAAGCGGTTCTCAATGCCAAAACCCAGCATGATATAAAAGTTAGGCACAGGGTAATGTCGCAGCGCAATGGCAGTCGGTCTTTCTGGACGCTGGCCAAGCAGATTGAAAAGAACTTCTCACACAGTAGCCTTCCACCACTTACGTGTCATGATGGAACTATTGTATTCGACTCAAAAGCCAAGGCGGAAGTGCTAGCCAAGATCTTTGCTGCCAACTCCACCATGGACGTCCCCACCAACGCCCAAGTGCCGTCAATTCAAAGGGTTCCCCACACTATGCGGGAGGTAACATTCAGGCATAAGACCGTAAGACGAGTGCTCTTGTCGCTCGACATCAACAAAGCTTCTGGTCCGGACTTGATTCCTGCCATTGTACTGAAGAGATGTGCATCTGAGCTTGCTCCAGTTCTTTCGCGTCTCTTCCAGATATCTTATGAATCCGGCACCTTCCCAGAAAACTGGAAATTTGCTCATGTACAGCCCATCCCAAAAAAAGGATCTAAAACCGACCCTTACAACTACAGGCCTATAGCTCTGCTTTCTGTTATAAGTAAAGTGATGGAGAGGTGCATAAATCGCGAGCTTCTGGACTACCTCGAACGTCACAGCTTGATTAGCGACAGGCAGTACGGTTTCCGGCACCAACGATCCACAGGGGACCTCCTAGCTTACGTTACGCAACTGTGGAGTAAACTCATCCAGTCTCATGGTGAGGCTCATGTCGTTGCTCTTGACATCACGAAAGCGTTCGATCAGCTGTGGCACGCTGCCCTCTTGAGCAAACTTCCATCCTACGGCCTCCCAGAAAAGCTTTGCAGATGGGTGGCTGACTTTATCTCTTGCCGCAAGATATCCGTCGTAATTGACGGATTCTCCTCTTCATCCCACAACGTCAACGCGGGTGTTCCCCAGGGATCGGTCTTGGCTCCAACACTGTTTCTCTTACATATCAACGACCTCCTTTCCTGCACGATCAACCCAATCCACAGCTTCGCTGATGACAGCACTCTACATGCAGGAATTCAGAGTGACAAGCCGATCTCTGCCGCTGAGCTGGAAAAAAGAAGACTAGCGACGACTTCTTCTCTGACAAGAGACCTGGAGGCTATCACTGCTTGGGGACGCAACAATCTTGTACAGTTCAATGCTTCCAAAACACAGTACTGTACTTTGACGAACAAAAAGCGTCCTAGCGCTCATACAGTTTCGATGGACGGTCGAGTCCTACCAAAGAGCCATTCATTTCGGCTGGTCGGAGTCCAGGTCACCGAGGACCTGATCTGGCACGAACACATCTCTTCAATAGCTGCAGCTGCTGGAAAAAGCTAGGCTATTTGTTTAGGGCTAAGAAGTACTTTTCTCCGCATGACCTTCTCACTCTATACAAGGCCCAGATAAGGCCTAGCCTCGAGTATTGCTCACACATTTGGGGTGCTGCCGCCCCGACTACATTGTCCATGCTCGATGCTGTCCAGAGGAGGGCGGTCCGACTGATCGATGACTCTTCTCTAACAGACAGTCTCGGGACTCTTTCGCACCGGCGGGCCGTCGGCGATCTAGCTCTTTTCTATCGCTACACCAACGGGCTTTGCTCCTCAGAGCTCTCTTCCATGATGCCGCCGCGCGATGTGCCTGCCAGACAGACCCGCCTGACTTCGGCGTCCCATCCTAACCGTGTCAAACTTGGTACATCCAGAACTGGCCGATACGACCGCTCCTTTGTCCCGAGGGTGTCTAGATTGTGGAACAAACTACGGGAGGAAGCTTTTCCCAGTTCTACTAACCTTAGGCAGTTCAAAAATCGTATTAACAAAATTTCTTTGGGATCATCATAGCAGCCGCGGTGTTCCGGCATTTAGGCTTCTGCCTGCGCGGCTGTTTCGATATAAAAAAAAACAATGTATACAATGTATACAATGTATACAATGTATACAATCTATACAATCTATACAATGTATACAGTGTATACAATGTATTCAATGTATGCAATGTATACAATGTGTACAATGTATACAGTTGTCAAACTGAGAATAAAATTTACAAGAGATACAATTTCAAATGAGTGCTACCAGAGGGGAGAGCCTATCAAAAATAAGGTTTTATCAACGCCAGCTTGAGCCCTATGCGTTTGATAGGATTTCCGTTGCTGACAGCTGTTACTGTGACACTTAGGGTTATTCGATTCGTTTACTTCTACTATCGTTGGTGGTTATGTTCAAAATAAAAAAACTCTAAAAAATGATTTGTCCTAAATGCATGTGGGCAAATTATTTCAGGATTCTGCAATTTGACGTATGACATTAGAAACGTCAGATGAATGCAGCGTAAGCACGCTTGAGAAAAATTTCTCCGCACGCCCATAGGATCAGGTAGGGAATGCGCCAAATAGTTGAGGATACCAAGATTAAAAGGACCGTCAGCGAGTATCTGTATAATCTGTGCCTAGGGATTTTTAGTTTACATTATTTACCTAGAGAGAAAAATGCTACTTCTCGATAAGGCATTTCGATCAATGATCTGGAAGAGTCACCTATGATGATAAATAACCTTGACCGCAGTTCGCTCCGTGCAACGTAAAGAAGGGCTATTCCCCTTTACAATCACTGAAATTGAAAATAAAGATTTACGGTTCTCTTGAGAGACGCTCAGCGCACATGTTCGGCTTCGTTTACAGTCGTGGATAAGGGAAAAAAGGGGATGCTGTGATGCAGTTAAAACGGAGAAATCCCTTGAGGTGAGGCGCGTTTTTTGATCTGACGGATACGCAGGAGATATAAATAGATCCGGTTTTGTATAAAGGTCGCTAACGCACCTGCCCATCGTCATCAAAGTCTTTCAAAACGCATATCCTGCTTAGATAAGAAAAATGTTGAAAAAGCACTGAGATTAAAGGATTCTGGGATATTCGCGATGACAGCACCGTCTAGTGGCCATCGTTATACCGGTGTGATGGAAGTCTTACAACAAAACGATCATGCTTCTTACATTTCACAATATTCCCTGGACAGAAAAAGTATCCGGGGAGCTCTCGCACAATTTTAGCTGCCATTAATGGACGCCCTTGTATTGAAATATTTAAGGATTTATTTTCCTGCATTAGCCCAAACTAACTATCCGTGATGCATCGCTACTGACTGTGATTGATATGCGATTGATGCTGAAATCTATTTCACGGCAAATTGATAAAATTATCCCCGTCCGGGTTCGCAGAAGCAGCGCAACCCGGCATATTATCACAGCTTATCTACTTTTATACATCAGTGGAAATGATGCCCAGTGTAGTGGCCAGAAAGCATACTGAAACAAAAACACGGTTTTTTCTGTTTGAAGTCTAATTCGTTAGTCTAACAGTAATTTATAACAACACTGGCAACTACTTTATGACAGATTTATAACCATGTCGACTGGACTATCGCATTCTGCGTTGTCGCCTACTTGACTGCCATTTTGCCGTCCATTGTCCAATCCCGAGCCTTCTCGAACGCTCCCGATGTTGACCGATCCTTCTCGATGATACCGCAAGCTATGCACGGTGACGTAAAACTGGTTGCCTAACAGTCGATATTGCAAGCGCGTTTCGCCGTCACTCAAGGCCAAAGTTAACTTTATTTTCTCTTTCAAGAAAATCGTTCATCTTTAAACATGACGACCTTCTACCCTCGTTATTATTTTTAAAATTTCATACTTTTAGAACTTCTCAACAACGGAAAAGCATCAGAAAGGTAGTAACGCTGACACCTGAAGACGGTATTTGAAATTCGACTCTCATCGTTCGGGAACTAATGCCAACGATTTTAAAATCGCGTTTAGTTCTTTCTGAATATATTTGAGGTGTGGTTTCAAAATAACTTAACATCCATCATCTATTCTATTCTGATAGACTCCCAACGGTTTGACACCCGATTGTAGACACCTTCAACGGCCATGCATTGTCAAAAGTCTAATTTCAAACGGTTTCAAATTTACTTACCAGTAATTTTGATTTCTCTTTATTGATGATAGAGTACCGATTCCTAGGCCAAACCCTTTCCAATGATTTTCTTTTGGAAAATCTCAGAATTGTGTTGCAATCTTTTGGACAGCAATGTTATAATATTTTATTATTGACTATCTCAGATATTTCCTCATAAAATATCGTTGCACCCCCGTAAACTGATTTCTTTACCCTGAACGCTATTTTGGGAAATAACATGGTTCTGAGGTATATCCATAGGTAACCAGCGATGTTGCGTATGTAGATTCGGTTGCGAACTTTTCATCTCTGAACACCTTTGTCAGTTTTTTGGGATTGTTTTGTTTTCCTTGACAGTTTGCTTTGAGAATCGGAATTTCTCATTCGCTCTTATTATTTTTGTGATCGAATCTGTGGAGTATAGAATTTTGGAACGCCCTCCTACTGACTAACGGAAGGCCGGAAATTTCGAGTCTGTCATATTTCTTGTTGAGGTTTTGGTGTCTGGGTCCTTCGTTTAGTCTCCGGATTTTGAGATATTTGGCCCCAATCACCAGTTTCTACAGTAGCACCATTTTTTTGGCAATTCAATGTTGTGCTGATGTATGGTATAAAATACGCTGTGACGTCATTGGCCAAATCCGAATCAACTCGCCCACGCAACGTTTGCGGTATTTCATCTGGATGGATGGATAATTCCGACAATCAGATGTCAGCGAGATGCATGCGTGGTTTGACGGTAAAGAGAGTAACAGATACTCGGGCTGGTGATACTTTCTTGCAAAAGAATGTAAAATGACATGTTCCTAACGTAAAACCATGTCACAAATTTCCATCGGTTGACGAGATGCGTTCGTGCCAGAGCAAGTCCTCAGTGATCTGAACTCCGACCAGCCGAAATGAACGGCTTTTTGTGTTTCTCTACTTATTATAATAAATGAATGTATCGAATAAGAGAATCAACATAGAGGCAGCATAATTTTATTTAATAGTATTTCATACAAAAATAGCTATTAAGCATATCTTCAATTATATATACTAATGAAAATATATGAGTGTATCAAATATCATAATATTCGAAAAATACTGCCAAATAGGCAACAACTTAGGTTTTAATTTAATCTTATAAAAGGTATAAAAACACTTATAAATTAACGCTTATGTAGGTAAATAAGTAAACTGGCTATCATGAGTTGCTTTTGGAAAGAGCAGTGCCTTAGAACTGAATCCATTCTAGTCTTTAGCTCATGATAATGCCTCCTCTTCCTCTTCTTTTATAGTCTCGATCTTCTTTCCGATATTCACAGCTTGTTCTATCGTATCTGGTAATTTGGTGTTCAAGGTTTCTGGGAAAAGTAGCGCCAGAGTGCCGGAGATACAACCGATACCTCCAAAAGTTAACAACGGAAGGAGTCGTGATACCCTAGCCTGGAAATATAAAATTGCATAACCAGAAGATACTCGTTTCAGTTGAAATGATTTACAGGGTGTCCAAAAAGTATCTCTCTCTCGAAGAAATGCGTTTGCTAGGCAAAAATGCTGTGGGTCAAACTTGCAAGGTTTGCAAAGGTCAGATAAATAATTGGCAAGACTTGATCTCATCTATAATAAGTTCGTAATCAATGAAAATTGAAAATATCGAATTTTGTTATAAAATCCGGAAATTTTTATTTTGATTCGAAAATATCAATTATCAATATCAAGTTTTCCAAATTTTTTGCTATCTTATCTAATCTAATATTTACAGTATTTTCAGTAAAATACAATTTTTCTTTCAAATTCCAAATATGGTCAAAATATACTTTTGGATCTAAATAAAATAATTAATTAAGACCAAGCAAACACTTTTACCAATAATAATTTAATAAATATAGTTTTTTACTTAGAGCAGGTAAGCTGATTTCAATAGTTCATTAGTTTTAAATAAATTGCTGTATTCAATCTAACTACCATTTCCATACCTATTCGTGTTTCTGTGAAACTGATAACAAGTGTCCAATCTACCAAGCCAAATCGACAGTGCGACTTTAAGAAACCACGAGGAGCATATATACCAAGGATCCAAGTTTCACGCGAGTATCATACATAAAACGCAGTATGATTCGCATACTTCCTCGCGGTTCTGTGACCCTGATAGCAAGTCACCGTCAATCATCTTTATGAGAAAAGTCTATCGAAAGTGCGATTTTCAGAAACCTTCGATATGTACCAGGATCGCAGAAACGTCAAGAGATATCGTTGCCATGCGTTTGAATTTCGTGTTTATCTCATAGCAGGAGCAGAGTACCATTTGCATACCTCCTCGCGTTTCTGTAAACCTGATAACAGGTCTTCAACCTACCAATTCCACGAAGAAACATACACACATACAGTGTGATATTCTGAAACGTATAGATCTGCATCAGATTTTACGAAGAAAGCCTGATCGACAATGCAACTTTAAGAAACCCATAGATCTGCATCAGGAACGCAGAAACCACGAGGAGCATAGATATCAAGGAGCCAAGTTTCATGCGAGTATCATAGATAAAACGCAGTATTATTCACGTACTTGCTCGCGGCTCTGTGACCCTGGTAGCAAGACCGTCCATCAATTTTATGAGAAAAATCTATCGATAATGCGATTTTCAGAAACCTTAGATCTGTATCAGGATCGCAGAAACGTCAATAGATATCGATGCCATGCATTTGAATTTCGTTTGTATGTCATAGCAGGAGCAGAGTACCATTTGCATACCTCCTCGCGTTTCTGTGAACCTGATAACAGGTCTTCAACCTACCAATTGCACGAAGAAACTGTCTTCTACAGTGTGATATTCAGAAACTTATAGATCTGCATCAGATTTTACGAAGAAAGCCTGATCGACAATGTAACTTTAAGAAACCCATTGATCTGCATCAAGAACGCAGAAACCACGAGGAGCATAGACATCAAGGAGCCAAGTTTCATGCGAGTATCATAGATAAAACGCAGTATTATTCACGTACTTGCTCGCGGCTCTGTGACCCTGGTAGCAAGACCGTCCATCAATTTTATGAGAAAAATCTATCGATAATGCGATTTTCAGAAACCTTAGATCTGTATCAGGATCGCAGAAACGTCAATAGATATCGATGCCATGCATTTGAATTTCGTTTGTATGTCATAGCAGGAGCAGAGTACCATTTGCATACCTCCTCGCGTTTCTGTGAACCTGATAACAGGTCTTCAACCTACCAATTGCACGAAGAAACTGTCTTCTACAGTGTGATATTCAGAAACTTATAGATCTGCATCAGATTTTACGAAGAAAGCCTGATCGACAATGTAACTTTAAGAAACCCATTGATCTGCATCAAGAACGCAGAAACCACGAGGAGCATAGACATCAAGGAGCCAAGTTTCATGCGAGTATCATAGATAAAACGCAGTATTATTCACGTACTTGCTCGCGGCTCTGTGACCCTGGTAGCAAGACCGTCCATCAATTTTATGAGAAAAATCTATCGATAATGCGATTTTCAGAAACCTTAGATCTGTACCAGGATCGCAGAAACGTCAAGAGATATCGTTGCCATGCGTTTGAATTTCGTGTTTATCTCATAGCAGGAGCAGAGTACCATTTGCATACCTCCTCGCGTTTCTGTGAACCTGATAACAGATCTTCAACCTACCAATTGCACGAAGAAACTGTGTTCTACAGTGTGATATTCAGAAACTTATAGATCTGCATCAGATTTTACGAAGAAAGTCTGATCGACAATGCAACTTTAAGAAACCCATAGATCTGCATCAGGAACGCAGAAACCACGAGGAGCATAGATATCAAGGATCCAATTTCACGCGAGTATCATAGATAAAACGCAGTATTATTCACATACTTCCTCGCGGTTCTGTGACCATGATAGCAAGCACCGTCCATCAATTTTACGAGAAAAGTCTATCGACAGTGCGATTTTCACCAACCTTAGATCCAAATTTGCATGAGTATTATAGATAGAGCACAGTTACTGCACAGCCTCCTCGCGTTTCTATGATCCTGTTAGCAAATCACCGTCCACCAATTTCTGGAGAAAAATCTGGTCCATAAAAAATGTGGATCTGTATCAGGATCGCAGACAAGGCAAGAGGTGTCGATGCCATGGATTTGAATTTCGTGCTTGTCTCATAGCAGGATCACAGTACCATTTTCGTACCTCCTCACGTTTCTGTGATCCTGATAGAAACTCATCTCTATCAATTTTACGAGAAAAGTCTGGACCAGTGCGGTTTTCAGAAACATATCGATCTGTATCAGGATCGCAGAAGCGGTAAGAAGCATTGTTGCCATGTATTTGGTTTTCGTTCTTATCTCATAGCAGGAGCAGGGTACCTTTTCTCGTTTCGGTGAATCTGATACCAATTTTACGAAGCAAGCCTGATCGACAGTGCAACTTTAAGAAACTCATAGATCTGCATCAGGATCGCAGAAACCACGAGGAGCATAGATAGAGCACAGTACTATTCACATACCTCCTAGCTCTTCTGTGAACCTGTCAGCAACTCGTCGTTCTCGAACATTACGAGTAAAGTCTGGTCGGCAGTGCGATTTTCAGAAACCTGTAGATTAGTATCAGGATCGCAGAAACGGCAAGAGGTATCGATATCATGGATTTGATTTTCGTGTTTATCTAATAGCAGGAGCAGAGAAGAAAAGGAGTATCGGATGGAAACATTTATTTGGCTCCAAATGACCTTGAAGATCATAGTCAAGGTGACGGTCAATACACGACAGTGACCTTGATCGGAAAGCGTTCCGTTATTTTGTAACGCCGAGTTATCAGAAAAAAAGAGAGCATTTCCGTTGGGAACACGTTAATAAATGGTATACTCACCAAGAGAGGTATCTGAGGTGCCAGCATAGATCCAAATCTCCCAAACATGCTGCAAATGGAAAACATCGTATGCCTGGAGCATGTGGGGAAAATTTCTGTAGTGTATGAAAAAAGCACTGTGAATGCCACAGTAGAAGAACATTTTCCCCAAAGAAATAAAGCCAATTTCAGGATTTCCATCTCTGAAAAAAATAGTTATTTTACTATTTTGAAAATTGAAATCTAACCTCTTGTAGAACGGAGATATGTCAAATAAATATTTTGCAATTCAATGGACATATTTAAAAGTTTACGCAGGAACTGATATCAACGCAAATGCTTACGATTTAGTTTTTTATCTATTCGATTTTATTTTCCAGTTTCACCAGAGCCTTCATTTAGAATAATCATTCAATAGTAAATTCAAAATGAAAATATTTTAGAGTTATTGTGTCGGTTATTGAGAGGTGATCCAATCCTACAACTCACCTTCCTTGACGATCCCCACGGCGAGACAGGATAGCCCGGCGGATACCAACGAGAAAAACATCATCAATCTTCTGCCGATTTTTTCATTTCCATAGTAATATATTATGTAACCGGGCAACTCCACCATCACGGCGAATATGAAGCTCAGGTAGACGTTCTCGGACATCGCTGTCTGCAATAGGTAAAGCCGTTCTCACACTGTTAGACTTATCTCATGCGATAGGGTCATTGGGTACATGGGACATGTCATAATTGCTATAGAGTGAAATTTATTTACCTTCTCGGTCTTGGCTTTCATTTGTACGAGAGAGACAGAAAATTCTGAATATGTCATTTGTATAGAGATTAAATAATAGTGGGCTTAGTACTGTACCTTGAGGCACACCACGCATAATGTACATTTTTTTACTGAAAGTGTTGGACACTTTGACATGTCAAAGTAAGCTTTAGCTAATTTTCATATCTTGTTTGAATTAGTAACCAAATGGGGTCTGGCTTTTAAATCTAGGCTAATCAAGAAAACTTGGAAATATCTAGGATTTCGAAAATCGTGACGAAAAAATTTATGCTGGGTGACCCATTTATTTTTATTCTTTAAACCCGCTACTAACCGAATGTATGGTCAATCCAAAATACAGAAACGTACAGCAGATCCACGTAAAGGAGCAATGCACCATCCTGATCAACAATCTCCGGTTCCTGATGGATTCCTTGAACCCACTCCTTCCATCTGGATCCACTCCAGTCTTCACTCCAAGCAAACTAATGCTTGAAAACATTATTTCCCTGTTGTTCTCTGAAATGAACGTTTCCCTTACAACAAATATTAGGTGTACCGAAAAATTCTGTTTCAACAATTTTCGTCAGATATATGAATCTTTAATTCTCTCCAATCACTCCGATAATTTAAAGATACATTTCCAAGGTCGCACCCTCTCTTCGTCATTACTAAGTTCGAGGTTGCATCGATGCAAGTTCAAGGTCATGTTTTGACAAGATCACATACATCGCCAATGCCAAGTGCATCAAGATCATCTACAGCGTCAATACCAAGCGCACCAAGGTCGTCTAGAGTCTCAAGACCAAGCGCATCTACTCCATCTACAGTGTCAAGGTCAAGCGTCTGAAAGTCATCTGCAGCATCAAGGTCGGACGTATCAAGGTCATTTGAAAGGTCAATGACGAGTGTAATCTACTAATTCAAGATCATGTGCACTCAAGATTTACTGCAATTCCAAGGTCAAGTGTGTCAAGGTTAGTTGTAGGCTCTATGTCAAGCGCATCCATGCTATTTACAGCGTCAGGGTCGAGCATATCAAGGTCATCTGATAGTTCAAAGACAAGTGTGTTCAAGGTCATCTACAATTCAGGGAAGACACCTGCAATTTCAAGGTCAAGCGCATTAAGATCATCTACAGCACCAAGGTCAAGTGGTAGACAAGGTGATCTACAAATTCGAGGTTATGTGCAATCGAGGTCAGCTGCAATTCCTAGGTCAAGTGTGTCAAGGTCACATATAGGCTCAAAGTCAAATGCGACCGCCGTCGCCTGCAACCTCGAGGTTACCCGTATCCAAGGTAATTAAAAGTTGTAAACTTCAAGCGTATCAGTGTCAAGGTCATCGGAATCAACCCAAAACATCAAGGACAAGTGTGGTCAAGGTCATTTACATATTCGTGAGCATCTAGACTCAAGATCACCTGGAATTCCAAGGTCAAATGTGTCAATGTTACTTTTAGACTCACGGTCAAGAGCCTCGATGCTATTTACAGCGGCAAGATCAGGCGCATCAAGATCGATTGAAAGCTCAAGGACAAAAGTGGTTACGGTCATCTACAAATTCAGTCATGTCAATTCGAGATCACCTGCAATTATAAGGTCTGGTCTCTCAAGGTCACATACCTATGGGCTCAAGGTCGACTGCTACCACAGTCGCCTATAACCTCAAGGTTACCCGTAGTCAATATGATTAATGCTTTAAGGTTACGTGATGTCAAGGTAATATACATTCAAGGTCGCCTGAAGTCAAGGTCATTCACATTTCAAGGTCAAGTGCAGTCAACACGTTCTATAAAAATGAGATATACAGGTCGTCATCACGTCGGCATGTCACAAATAAAGTTGTACATTACATTATAATATTATAAGAAAAGTTATAAACGTCAAGAGTATCAATGCTATCTACAGTATCAAGGTCAACCGAATGAAGGTCATTTAAAAGTTCAAGGACAAGTGTGGTCAAAGTAATGTGCACGCAAGGGCACCTGCAATTGCAAGGTCAAATGTGTCAAGGTCAATTGCAGACTTAAGGTCAAGCGCATCAAGATCATTAGTGAGGTCAAGGTGTGCTGCAAGTTCAAGGTCGTGTACACCTGAGGCCACCTGTAATTCCTGGGTCAAGTGTGTCAATGTAACGTATAGGCTCAAGGTCAAGGGCATTAAAGCTTCAAGGTTGCGTGATCTCTAAATCAAGGCCATCTACACATTCAAGGTCGCATACAGTCAAGGTCATTCGCATTTCAAGGTCAAATGAGTACGACAAGTTCTGAAAAATTGAATATACATATACGTTATCACGTTGGCTTGTCACAAATAATGTTCAACAGCACCTATATTATAAAAAAAAAATATTTTATTACAGCAGAAAAACAGACATAATTCTTCGGTAGACCATTTAATATTAACCACCGCATGTTAATTTCTATGGGAATAAAATGTTCTCCCCAGGCAGCTACCGTATTACCTGAGGCAATCTGTTTGATGACCTTCTTCGCCTCTTTGGTATTCTTCTTGGACAGCAGCCATCTGAGCGACTCGGGAATCGCCCAGATGAAGATGATCGATAGCAGGCCTGGAGTGTACAGGATGCGGAGCATGATCCTCCACGAGGGCGAGAACCAGGCCGCTAGACCGACAAAGACGCAGCCTAAGGCGTAGAGGACGCTCAGGGCGAAGTTGCCTAGGGTGCGGTGTTTCGATTCGAGCATTTCCATGGCTGAAATGAAAATTTTGACTCTATCACTAAATTAGTTTTGAGCTAGTGTTCAGAAAATCGTGGGAAAAGGCTAGGTTATTTGTTCATGGCTAGGAAGTACACTTCTCCCTACTCTGTACAAGAGCCTAATAAGGCTCAAGCTTGAGACTAAGTTAATCCTGCTCAATGATGACTCTTCTTTAACCGAAAGTCTCGAGTGGCTTTGGCACTGATGGGCCGTCGATGATCTGGCGCTATGTAAAGGGGCCTATTTGGCACAGACTTCTAGCAGTGGCACAGATTAGCCCTTCTTACAAAACCGAATCGGTCCTTTAGTGCTAAGGAAATGGTCTTCTTAACTAACTACTGTATACAATGTTGTGGGTATAATAATTTTGCTACAATCTGGCAATGTGATGCAGAATCTATAGGCATATTTTAGTGATCATATCCATCGCTCATATATATATACAACCGAAAAACAATTGATATTATGTATAATGTATCGCTTAAACCGATATATTCGGATTGGAATGTTTGTTCATTATGATTATGCTGTTTCTGTATACGAGGTCCTAGCAAATACAAAAACAGATGGAAGTGGAATACGTTGTGATCGAGAAATGAAAGTAGACAAGTAGACATGGATATTTACAACTGGGGAACAACTACTTAGGTGCCACTATGTGGACAGCGTTTGAACTAGTAGAAAGTAAGCCCCATACTTGTCTTGTCAATATCTATATCAAATACCACTGATTAAAAGGAAAAACGCCGAGATTTATCTAAGGAAGACAACTTTTTAACTGAAAACTACTTCCACCCCTTTCACCTTCTTTTGTCATGTTTTTGAAAATGCCCGTCAGGAATTTGAACATCGCCTACATCTTTGTTTGGCCAATAACAGGCAACATTTTGATCACTTATTGGAATAAAAAGTGATATTTTCTCTATATCTCAACAAATTAAGATAAATAAGTATTTTTCTAGTTTTCTCGAAAACGAATCGACCGATTTTAATAAATAAAACGTCAAAATAAAGGACTCCGAAAGACCTTTCAAACAAGCTATTACTCGACACCCCGTCATTTAAAATTTTTGAGGGGATGGCTCCGGGGGCAGAGGATGAAAGGGAGTGAAGTAGTTTTTGGTTAAAAATTTGTCCCGCTTGACAAATCTCTGAACGTGTCTCGGCGTTTTTTCTTCTAATCAGTGGTTTTCGATAAAATCGTGGTGGGAAATGAAATGAACACCCGGGGTCCTTTTATCATTTTCCTTATTTTGATCTATTTTTTTTTTTTTGTAGACTATTCATTCTGGACTATGATCGGAAGTATTTTTTGAATACACCACGTATTTCTACATCGAGTATACTCCACCACGTGTTATATTAATTATTCGAATAACGCCACGTGAACTCGGTATTTATTGTATTTGCGCAGTCGGAAAAAAATTACAAAATTTAATTTCATCTGGCATAATATCTCTCTTGATGTATTCCATACTATTACAGAGGATCGCTATTTTACCATCCGCTACGAACAATATCCATCAATATAGATATTCGTTTGAACGTTACTCATTATTGGATTTTCACATAAAAGCGGAATATTGGATTTTTTTAACGTATTATATTTTTATTTCTTATTCAATTGGATTTTCGATCCTTTTCACATTCACTGCCGAGGTGGTATTATAACAGCGAGCAGTCTTAAAAATCCAGATGTTATCTTTTCACTTCCTCAAAAAAAAATCGTAATATATACTAAGTGACATATAAATCCGAAAACCCAGTATAAATGGTTTTATTTTAATAAAATTTTGTATAAGTACTTAATGAAGCATAATAAGTAAATGATAAAAATTTCAAAATGATTGCACTGCTTTAAAGCCCTTTGACGTTTAATAATGTGTGGATGCACCCTGATGTGCTACGCATTCTCCAACGCGCCTAGGCATGCTTCTGATCAGGTGGTCAATGTCCTCCTGTGGTATCTCATTCCAGGCAACCACCAACTCCTCTCGAAGTGCTTCTAGAGTCTGAGGAGGACGTTGCAAATTGAGCAATCTCCTACCCATCATATCCCACACGTGCTCAATTGGGGATAAGTCGGGAGATCTTGGTGGCCATGGTAACAATGTGACATCATTATGTTGAAAGAAGTCTATTGTGACTCTTGCAATATGTGGTCGGGCATTATCTTGTTGGAAAGTTGGATCTGCCAGGGTGTCAAGATAGGGTAAAAGATGGGGTTCTAGAACTTCGTGGATATAACGCTGCGCGTTCATGTTACCTCTGATGAAGATTAAAGGTGACCTGGAACCATAAGCTATAGCACCCCAAACCATAACTCCAACAGTGTGATGAACATGTCTTTCAACAAAAAACTGTGGACTCCTCCTTTCACCACGTCGCCTTCTAACCCTGGCACGACCATCGTGCATGTGTAAACAAAATCGAGACTCGTCACTAAAGACAATACTGTTCCATTCCTGATCCCAGAGTGACCGTTGTCTGCACCACTCAAGGCGATTACGTCGGTGTTCTCGAGTTAAAGGGAGGACCGAGTGTGGTCGGTATGAAAACAAGCCAAAACCTCTCATTCGTCGGTAAACACTTCGCATGCCAATAGGTCTTCCGTGTTCTGCAAACCATTCATTTGCAATGGACCTGGTAGTGGAGAAACGGTCCCTTAAGGCCAATAATCTTAGGCGGCGATCGTCACGGTCTGTTGTTCTACGGCGGCGTCCAGTGCCCCTTGCTCTTTGCGTACGGCCTTCTCGAAGCCATGCCTGACAACACCTAACCACAGTGTCTACACTTCTTTGCACTCTAACTGAAATTGCCCGAAAAGAAAGTCCAGCTTCCCGAAGTCCCACTATACGGCCCCTATCAAACTCACTAAGTTGACGAGATCGTACAGGTCTCCGTACTCTAGGCATCGTAACCGATTGTAAAGGATGTCAAGAACCAAAATCGCCAACGTTGATTCTTTACTGCGGCTGAAATATTCATTTTTAGAGCGTTAGTGAATTAAAAAAAAGCAGTATAAAAACCAGAATGTCCAACTGATAAGGCTGAACATTTTTTCACTTGTTATTTACAGTAAGAGAAATACATTCACCAACTTTTATTAAAATAAAACCATTTAAACTGGGTGTTCGGATTTATACATTAATACATTCACCAACTTTTATTAAAATAAAACCATTTAAACTGGGTGTTCGGATTTATATGTCACTTAGTATATTCAGTGACGTTAGAAGAAATGATTTTTTTTTTTTGGCGTATTTAAAGCCTGTGGCAATAATATCAATTTTTTATCTTTGTTTTTGTTTACCTTTGCTAAAATGTTATATCTTAGTTTTTGAGAAGGAAGCAGTTTCTGAGAGCTGAGTGGTATAGATATTTATATTTTGAAGAGAATGTTATCGTTTCATACACCTCATTGCAAAAAGTTCAAGCTAGAAAAATTATTTTTTCTGGATTAACACTTCTATTGTGAAAAAATACATATATTTGCTATGTCACGAAGTTATGGGACACCCCCGTATATATTAAAATAATTTTAAAATCTGCACTAACACACGGAAACAGATGTTTGATATATTTTCCAGTTTGATCGTAAAACTACCTTCCATTTTTATTGGCACACCCTGTATTCCATAAAGATTAGATTATTTAAGGTTCTAAGATTACTGAATAACTTTACTCGTTGGATTAGCCAATTATTCCACAGAAAACAAAATTATAGCAAAATTCAGTCAGTGTATCCATTCACAGATACATTCATTAAAATGACCGCTCGGAAATATTCACAAGAAAAAAACATGAAATCTAAAATCCCCAGCGACCAATCCACTATCATTTCTTTACGCGTAATCTCGAACGCAAAATCCATTTCGACTTGAGAGAGTCTGATAACGTTGAATACAGAGTGTTGTGCGTATTTACGAATGCTTTGTTAAGAAACTTGGAATTACGGAAATTAAATAGTAAAGAGCGATACGATGAAACTCCATTTATACAGGGTGTATAATAAGTGTGTACTATAAGCTTAACAGACGATTTTAAGACAAAAAGTAGATCCTCAAATTCTTCGTTCTCAAGATTCAGGGTGTTGGAATGTAAAAGAAAAAATTGCTTTTCCTGAATATCTTAAATATCCTTTACATAATTTTGTTGTAATTTGGCGACGGCATTTACAACATTTAGGTGCTAATTTATCCTTAACTTGAAGTACAGACGCGTCTCTCGGGATCTGAACGAGTATTTGTGAAAAAAAATGTTCGCCACTGACTTCGTGCAATTTTTATTGTTCTTTGCATTAACTAAATAGATAGTTTTTCTTGGAAATTATTTTTTTTATGGTTTTTTATTTTATTGTACTTAATTTAGCTTGGTGGTTATTTGTTGTTGTTACATAAATCGTAATGAAAAAAAAATATTTTCCAAAAGAAACTTTTCCCCGTATTCTTTGTGTGGTCCTTGGATATTTGTACAATTGGGTGGACCTTTTTTTAAAAAACTAAGAGACAAGAAAGTTGTATTTCTACTTGCTAAATGCTTTTGTCACAAATATTCGTTCAGATCTAACTTGAGACTCCACTGAGCTTGATAAATTTAAGAAAGTAGGAACTCAATTATCTCCTTAATGTCATAAATACCACCCACAAATTACAATAAAATTAGGTAAATGATATTTAATATATTTACGAAAAAAATTTTTTTTTTAATTTTAACACCCTGTATCTTTGCGGACCTGAAGTTACTCAAAGAAACGTCTGTTAAATGAATGGTACATACTTAACTAACACCCTGTACAATCATAGTAAAACATTATAGCAAAAAAGACACGATGAATTTGTTACAATTTTTTTAGCGTAAAACAAATTCTGGCAGCAGTGATATTTTTTACCAAAAGTATAATTGTTAATTGAATGATTGACGATGTGAAAGTATGTGTTTTGTAATGTTTACGTCAAGAAAAACTTTGCGGTTGATTTCGGTTAGCTTTGTGACCGCGTAATATCAGAAACCAACGGCGATAGATCGATTTTGATAAAATGTGCAGATCAATGTGCTTTGACAAATTGGTTAAGTCGTCGTCGGTTGGAATTTCTTCCTAACGTTTCGCTAGCACGAGTGGCAAGCTTCTTCAGAGGTCCTTCCATTTCCGATGTAGCAGTTTTTCAATGAGCTTTGTTTATAGTGAATATCACCGTATTTTCGGAAACCAAACGCGATCCAAGAACTAACCACCTACAAACATCAAAAGCCAAGAAACTTCTATACATGCTGGAGAGGTCTTTCAAAGGATCCGATGTCAACACTTGCGCCTACATTTACAAGGCATTCGTGAGGCCAATTCTTGAATTCGCTGGCCCGGTATGGGACACTGTGCTTCTGCGCGATAGAAATCTCGTCGAATCAGTACAGCGTCGGGCTACTCGTATCCCTTTTGGAGCACGAAGACCAAGCTATGAAGATCGCCTTGAATTATTCAACCTGACCTCATTCTCTGAGCGAAGACTTCGTGGCGATCTTATAGTTACGTTCAGGATACTTCATGGTTTGATGGGCACCAACCTCATGCATCTATACCGTCTGTCGCGCAGCAATCTACGCGGACACAGCTTCAAACTGCATAAGGAGCCATTTAAAACAACAGTCCGACAGTGGTTTCTTCCCAACCGCATATTCAACACCTGGAATAGTTTACCTGAAAGTGTGGTTGGTGCTACTTCAGTTAATAGCTTCAAAGTGCAGTATGATAGCTGGAGGAGTGTACAAACTTTATAGCTATGAACTGTCTTTTTTTATTTTTTTCTATTTGATGTATTTGTGTTACGTGTCCGTACACTATATTTACTGCATGAGCTTATAGTACTGTGTACTCTGCTTATCTCAATTATCATAATAATAATAATATTTTCGAGTCCCATTTTTCTCATAAAGTATTTCATACGTTGTTTCCGTACTCTTCCCAACTTTCAGAATTCAAAATACTTGGTCTATAAAATGTCAGTAGTATTATTCTTTTTTTTCCGAGATAAATAAGAATTAGGTATACACAAATTGGGCATTAGCTAACTTTTAGGAAATAGTACCTTATTTTGAAATGAGTTTTTACCTAAAACAAACGCAGCTCCATATGTGCAACCACTAAATGCAGTATCGAGAAACTCGAAAATGGCATAAGCGTAATAATTCGCTGCAAATGATCTCAGAAGTCCCACCATTGTGCTGAGTAGCATCGATAAGATCAGTAAGGTCTTTCGTCCATATCTGTAACATCGCACCAAAAAATAAAAAATACTGTCAATATTTCATATATCTTTTTCAAATATTATTTTGTAATATACGACCTTAACCACATATACGTATTTCTGCACGTCAAATTTAAAAAAGTGGCTACATTCTATATCTAGGACTGAAATTCATAAACTCATAAATACGAACATCAACTAAATACATAACCTACTGTAGCTAATTTTTGTCCTTTTTTGTCATTTGCATTCTACAGTTTCAACTTAAATTTATTGGTCCATGTACAGGCGATGCCTTCTATTGGGCCTATTTTGATTTTATATTTATTTACTCATATTGTTTGTTATCTTTGTACATTGAGTGAATAAATATTATTATTATTATTATGTATGCCAAAAATTTATTATTATTTATATTATATTATTTATTTCCTCTCGACAAAAAAACATTGTATAGGAATTGTCAGACATTTTCAAATATAGAAAAAAACCTATATATAATAAAAAAAACAGTCAAATATTAAAAAATAAGATTTAGCGGTATACGAGGAGGTACCCAAAAATAACCGGAATAGCATTTCAGTGGGCGGAGCTTGTGTAGTACACATTTCTGCCGCTAGAGGCGTACAGCGCAACTCATTACCAGTTCAGTGTCACCTGGGTTGTCGATCTGGCTTGTTTCGCTCCTCTGTATTTTGCTTTCTAATTGGTAAACATGCTGCTGAAACTGTTTCAATGTTGAAAATAGCTTACAAAGATCATGCTATGAGAAAAACTCCGGTGTACGAGCGGTTTGCTCGATTTGAAAATGGCGACATGTCGATTGACGACAAACTTCGCTCTAGACGTCCATCAAGTGTCCGAATCGACGACAATGCTGAAATAACTCGAGAGTTTGTGCTATTCGGAGGTTTTAAAAAATTGAAAATAAATATCTTCATAAATAATTCCGGTTCTTTGGTACCCCCTCGTATATCACAATATGCTTCCACACTACAAAAGCTATTTACAATTATACTAAGTGACATATAAATCCGAACACCCAGTTTAAATGGTTTTATTTTAATAAAATTTTGTATAAGTACTTAATGAAGCACAATAAGTAAATGATAAAAATTTCAAAATGATTGCACTGCTTTAAAGCCCTTTGACCTTTATTAATGTGTGGATGCACCCTGATGTGCTACGCATTCTCCAACGCGCCTAGGCATGCTTCTGATCAGGTGGTCAATGTCCTCCTGTGGTATCTCATTCCAGGCAACCACCAACTCCTCTCGAAGTGCTTCTAGAGTCTGAGGAGGACGTTGCAAATTGAGCAATCTCCTACCCATCATATCCCACACGTGCTCAATTGGGGGATAAGTCGGGAGATCTTGGTGGCCATGGTAACAATGTGACATCATTATGTTGAAAGAAGTCTATTGTGACTCTTGCAACATGTGGTCGGGCATTATCTTGTTGGAAAGTTGGATCTGCCAGGGTGTCAAGATAGGGTAAAAGATGAGGTTCTAGAACTTCGTGGATATAACGCTGCGCGTTCATGTTACCTCTGATGAAGATTAGAGGTGACCTGGAACCATAAGCTATAGCACCCCAAACCATAACTCCAACAGTGTGATGAACATGTCTTTCAACAAAAAACTGTGGATTCCTCCTTTCATCACGTCGCCTTGTAACCCTGGCACGACCATCATGCATGCCTAAACAAAATCGAGACTCGTCACTAAAGACAATACTGTTCCATTCCTGATCCCAGAGTGACCGTTGTCTGCACCACTCAAGGCGATTACGTCGGTGTTTTCGAGTTAAAGGGAGGACCCAGTGTAGCCGGTATGAAAACAAGCCAAAACTTCTCATTCGTCGGTAAACACTTCGCATGCCAATAGGTCTTCCGTGTTCTGCAAACCATTCATTTGCAATGGACCTGGTAGTGGAGAAACGGTCCCTTAAGGCCAATAATCTTAGGCGGCGATCTTCACGGTCTGTTGTTCTACGGCGGCGTCCAGTGCCCCTTGCTCTTTGCGTACGGCCTTCTCGAAGCCATGCCTGATAACACCTAACCACAGTGTCTACACTTCTTTGCACTCTAACTGCAATTGCCCGAAAAGAAAGTCCAGCTTCCCGAAGTCCCACTATACGGCCCCTATCAAACTCACTAAGTTGACGAAATCGTACAGGTCTCCGTACTCTAGGCATCGTAACCGATCGTAAAGGATGTCAAGAACCAAAATCCGCCAACGTTGATTCTTTACTGCGGCTGAAATATGCATTTTTAGAGCGTTAGTGAATTAAAAAAAAAAGTATAAAAACCAGAATGTCCAACTGATAAGGCTGAAAATTTTTTCACTTGTTATTTACAGTAAGAGAAATACATTCACCAACTTTTATTAAAATAAAACCATTTAAACTGGGTGTTCGCATTTATATGTCACTTAGTATAAATAGTCTTTTAAGAGATTTTTAAATGTCTTTAGGCTGTGGCAATTGTTTGTTTCCAAAGGAAGTAGGTTAAACATATTTAGGCCATTAATATTTGAGTTATATAAGTCTTCACTTATCGCATTAATTGAATGCAATGAGAGTTACATATTAAGTTCATGATAATGTTATGAATATTCATTTGCTAGTGCAACGTCCACCTACCTGTAATAATAAAGAAATCATATAGCGCAATGTCAGAAAAATGTTATCTCAAAAATACTTATTTTGACTTAACCTAGTCTGATGTACAGATTCGGAATCAAACATGACGATGTGTCCAGTCAAAATCAAAATGCATTTCGATGTAACTTGCAAAATCTGAGAGTCATTTGTTCAGACTGACTCACACTGTTATCACAGAGTTTCATATCCCCTTGATAAAAAGTTGTTGCAATATTTTTGGTACTTACATGTCTGATATAAAACCAGAATAGGACAGACATACTAATTCCCCTGTCACACTGAGTGTTCCTATAATGGTCAGCTTCCACAAGTTTTCGCTGCATATTATGTTAAACTACAAACAAATATTAAATATATGACGAACTTCAAGCAAAATTCATTTTACAATTTCATATACATATTAACAAATTATATAAAGTAAGGTGTCAGTATCAGTATAGGAAAGCGCTTTTATTTTTTCTTAGTTTTTCTTATTGTACATACATCGTGAACAATCGTGATTTCTTTCTTCTGGTATACGAATTGATCACATCTAACAGTCATGTTCTGTAAGACTGATTCCTTTGAACATGCTGGCGATTCCCGTCTGAAAGAGAAAATTTGTCTTATAATACGCTTTTCGGGTCGCTGGAACCAAATTCATGGCAATTTCTAAAATCTCTTGCGCGTCTATGATCGAGATGAAAGTTTGTTTTCTGGGTAAATCGGGTGCGTAGATTCCAAATTCGATGTCGATACATCGCTAGAAATGACGGCTAGCCCGAAAAAATAGTTTCTTGTCAACTTTTCACCCTAAATCCAGTCTGATAACACTTAAGATTTTTTTACTATGATATTCACATTCAGCGCGCCAAGTTACCTCATTGTGCAAAGCTTCGCTCTAATGTAGCCATCGATAGTAAAAATGGATTTTTAGCACCTTAAAGTCGCAAGAAACGCAAATTTTTTTCCACAAAAAAACGCACCAGTAGCTATTTTCAACAACAAAATGATAAAAAAACTATGGGCGTAGTGAAGAAAAGCATTTACTTATTAAGTAAATTCTTTTAGTCAAATTTGTTCTGAAAGTAGTACAGACTAATCTGATGTAGGTACCTATTAAAGTCTACTTTAAGCTTTAAATCACTAAATCTTCAAAACAACTGAAGTGAAGCTCATGTATTTTACATCATTATAAAGGGAATTGACAGACCTTTAAAATAAGGTATCACTCGACCCCCCTTTCCATTTAAGATTTTAGGGTTGGTGTCACCCCCGCCCAGGGGACTGCACATGTTAACGTGATTTTTTGCCAAACTTGTGTCCCCCTCGAAAACAAAATCGACGGTTCTGAGCGTTTTTCCAAAAAAAAACTGAGCTACCAGTAAATGCGTCTGTTTCGTTTTAGATGCGCCACCCTGTATCTATTATGATATCTGCCTGGCGACATCATCTGCTGAAATATGTTAATCAATGCTTGTCGCTTACATACCCCTAATGACGTAGGTTAAATAACGCGGTTACACCAGCTCGACTCTCAAGTGAATTGGCCGGGATAAAGCGTTCGCTCAATTGAGTCTAGCCGCCTTAATATATAACTGTGGTCAGTATTTCGCGTAACGTTGCTCGCCAGTTTCTGAAAGGAGGGCTTTAAGCCGCAGAGGCAATAAGTTGCGCAGTTTAAGGCCAATTTTGCCTCCTTTCTAGCCACCGATTTATTCCAGCTATTCATTTTCTGTATATCTCTCTTAGTGCTCCTGGGACGCGGCTTTACTCCTGAGATTTCGCCGCTATTGCTGTATTGAGATTTATTTCTATGAATGAAGTTTAATAACCACTGTTAAACGGTAGTTGCGCTTTACATTCTATAATGTTGAAGGTTTTTACTTCCTAGGCCTACTCAGTCTAGTTGGTTCTTTGAATATTTCGTCAAGTAGATTGACTCAGTACTTATGACGCAAAGATACGGAGTCAAAATTTTCAAAATTAGATAATATTCGAACTTCGGTTTACTAGTTTTCTGTTGCTCAAAGATATCTGCAACTCCGTGTCTCATTTATGTTGGTTTGTCACTCCGTATCTTTGCGTCATAACATAAGTAAGTTTGTAATTAAACATTGTTTCTACTTTTTAGTTCGGTTAGCTATAAAAGCGTGTTTTTTTATCTTTTTAAAGTATTATTTATTTGACATATAGAGTGTAAAGAGATATAAAAATTAAAAAAAAATAATGTTCCCAGGATCGAACCCCGGGACACTCGAATAGTAGTATAATTATTTAACCATCGGGCCAAACAGACGTTTGAAAACCTGCTTCAGACACATCTACTCACTCGTACCAAAGCATGACCAGCTAGATTATGTCAATCGATCGATATATTGTAGCTGCTGTAGCTCAAAAGTTAAGAGGTTCAGGACATATGTTCATATAAACTTTTCTTCATAAAATGAGCTAAGGAATCATATCCTGTATCTTTGAACTTGATATAGTTTTCAACTCGTTGTAAACATTATTGTACTTAATTCTTCTTACGCCCTTGGTTTTGTGTGTTGCGTAATTCTAAAGAGCTATCTATAGAAACTTGTAAAAAATTATATATATATATATATATATATATATATATATATATATATATTACATCATTTGTAATATCTTTGTTACATATAAAATTACCCTTCCTTTTCTCAAAATCATTTGAAACAGATGAATATAAAGCACATTTGAGGTACCGTTCACAAATGATATAACCGAGTTTTATAGATTCTTGATTTTGTTTGACATGTAGTATCTAAAGAGATACAAATAAGGAAAAAAAAATAATAGTGTTTTCCAGGATCGAACCCCGGGACAGTTGAATAGTAGTCCGATTATCTAACCATCATGCTAAACGTACACTTGAGAATTAGTTTCAGAAACATCTACACACCCGTACTAAACCTTGGCCAGTTGCCGAGTTAAACGACAATCGAACTGTTCGATTTTGAGCGATGAGAGAAGCTGGCCAGCCATCCGGCAACGACCGACGTACGACGGCAACAGCGCAATTGTGCACCACTGTGGAAATTTCAATAGATCTGCCGTCAGAGGCATATTGTACGTGCACAATATGACAACTCTGAAAACTTAAACCGTATGACATTTGACCATTTGACGTTGTACGACAAATTTCCAGTGGCAGATGGGTTGTTTCTTGTTTTACAATATAACCTTACTTTTGATTTGGTTCAACACTGTGTATTATTATTTGTGCCATATGACTTTTGTTCATGGTGATACAAACGAGAGCCGGCGTTCTCAGCGTAGTATGGCTGTTACCTGATGAAATATTGTGCACAGTGCATAATAATAATCTGGATAGTATGAAACGTTGTATAATCATAGGCAAACGTATCTACCCGAATTTGAATTACGGGTAGCAGACACGTCAATATAGTAAAATTATGACTGGAATAATTTAGCCAATGTGCAGAAAATGTTGAACAAAGCTGGAATATGAAACAATGTTATTAGGTGATTGAAACTAAATAAAAAAATATGGTAACAGAATAGTCTAAGACATGCTATAATATATAGGCAACCGAATCTATCTCACTTTGTATTACGGGTTGCATAGACGTACGCTTCATTTGTGATTGTGAATCTGTATACAGGGTGTCAAAAAAAAGACAACATTCATTCGTGTAAAGGCAGTTACGAAAATTTGATGAAAACAAAAGTCTCGCGTTGATCCTTCGATCTATGGAATTTTTCTCAAGTCTGAGGAATTTTCAATTATGAAGCCTAGTAAGGCTTGTTTCAAATGTGAACAAAGCATTGTTGATTTTGAACACGCTTTTATTAGCCTGGCCTGTATGTATGTATGTATGTATGAAACGGAATCCTTAAGCATAATTTGCTTTTCAAAATTTTCAATCTATTCAAAATTTTCGAATTTGAATTACGGGTAGCAGACACGTCAATGTAAAATTAAAATTTTGACTGGAATAATTTAGCCACAGTGCAGAAAATGTTGAACAAAGCTAGAATGTTAAACAATGTTACTAGGTGATTGCAATTAAATAAAAAAGGTATGGCATCAGAAAAGTTTGAGACATCCTATAATATATAGGCAACCGTATCTACCGTAATTTGTATTGCAGGTTGCATAGACGTACGCTTCATTTGTGATTGTGAATATGTATACGGGGTGTCAAAAAAAGACAACTTCCATTCGTATAAAGGCAGTTACTTCGTTGTATGGAATTTTTCTCTAGTCTAAGGAATCTTGAAAATTTTGAAAAGAAAATTATTTTCAAAGATTCCGTTACATACATACATACAAGCCTGGCTAATAAAAGCGTGTTCAAAATCAAAAATGCTTTTTTCACATTTGAAACAAGCCTTACTAGACTTCATAATTGAAAATTCCTTAGACTTTAGAAACATTCGTTGATCGAAGGATCAACGCGAGAATTTTGTTTTCATAACTGCTTTTTACACGAATGAAAGTTCTTCTTTTATACATGTACATACTCACAATCACAAACAAAGCGTACTTCTATGCAACCCGCAATACAAATTGCGGTAGATACGGTTGCCTATATATTATAGGATGTTTCAAACTTTTCTGATGCCATACCTTTTTTATTTAATTTCAATCACCTAGTAACATTGTTTTACATTCTAGCTTTGTTCAACATTTTTTGCACTGTGGCTAATTTATTCCAGTCAAAATTTTACTATACTGACGTATCTGCTACCCGTAATTCAAATTCGAAAAGTTTGAAAATTTTGAAAAGCAAATTATGCACAAAGATTCCGTTACATACATATATACAGGCCAGGCTAATAAAAGCATATTCACAATTACAAATGAAGCGTACGTCTATGCAACCCGTAATACAAATTGAGATAGATACGGTTGCCTATATATTATAGCATGTCTTAGACTATTCTGTTACCATATTTTTTTATTTAGTTTCAATCACCTAATAAGATTGTTTCACATTCCAGCTTTGTTCAACATTTTCCTCACAGTGGCTAAATTATTCCAATCATAATTTTACTATATTGACGTGTCTGCTACCCGTAATTCAAATTCGGGTAGATTCGTTTGCCTATGATTATACAACGTTTCATACTATCCACATGCCATGCATTGTTTATATAATTTCAGTCACCTAATAACATTGTTTTACTTTCTAGCTTTGTTCAACATTTAATGCACTGTGCACAATATTTCATCAGGTAACAGCCATACTACGCTGAGAACGCCGGCTCTCGTTTGTATCACCATGAACAAAAGTCATGTGGCACAAATAATAATACAGTGTTGAACCAAATCAAAAGTAAGGTTATATTGTAAAACAAAAAACAACCCATTCACCATTGGAAATTTGTCGTACAACGTCAAATGGTCAAATGTCATACGGTTTATATTTTCAGAGTTGTCATATTGTGCACGTACAATATGCCTCTGACGGCAGATCTATTGAAATTTCCACAGTGGTGCACAGTTGCGCTGTTGCCGTCGTACGTCGGTCGTTGCGGGATGGCTGGCCAGCTTCTCTCATCGCCCAAAATCGAACAGTTCGATCGTCGTTTTAACTCGGCGGCTGGTCAAGGTTTAGTACGGGTGTGTAGATGTTTCTGAAACTAATTCTCAAGTGTCCGTTTAGCATGATGGTTAGATAATCGGACTAGTATTCAAGTGTCCCGGGGTTCGATCCTGGAAAACACTATTTTTTTTTTTTACTTTTTTGTATCTCTTTAGATACTACATGTCAAACAAAATCAAGAATTTATAACACTCGGTTATATCATTTGTGAACGGTACCTCAAATGTGCTTTATATTCATCTGTTTCAGATGATTTTGAAAAAAGGAAGGGTAATATTTTATATGTAACAAAGACATTACAAATGACGTAATATACGTATACCTATATATATATATATATATATATATATATAACTTTTTACAAGTTTCTATAGATAGCTCTTTAGAATTACGCAACAGAAAACAAGGGCGTAAGAAGACTTAAGTACAATAATGTTTATAACGTCTTGAAAACTATATCAAGTCAAGATCTGTTGACATTGCAATATTCAAGACTGTTGTTTAATGCACGGCAGAGTTTAATTGATGTTTAAAGATACAGGATATGATTCCTAAGCTCATTTTACGAAGAAAAGTTTATATGAACATATATCCTGAACCTCTTAACTTTTGAGCTACAACAGCTATATCGATCGATCGACATTATCAGTTGGTCATGCTTTGGTACGAGAGAGTAGATGTGTCTGAAACTGATATTCAAACGTTTGTTTTTCCCGATGGTTAAATAATCAGACTACTATGCAAGTGTCCTGGGGTTCGATCCTGGGAACATGATTTTTTTTCATTTTTATATCTCTTTACACTCTATATGTCAAATAAGTAATACTTAAAAACAACACGCTTTTATAGCCAACCAAACTAAAAAGTAGAAACAATTTTTAATTACAAAGAGTTTATATTAAGAAATAATAATCTGCATTGTCACAGGACAAAACTTGTACCGTCTCGTACGTTATTAAACAAACACCCGAAAGGCAAACTTTTCTGCCCGACTATATGTATTCCCTGTTCCCCAACTATTATATAGGAATACATACCTGGAAATGCTGGTATTTACAGAAGCGTATCGGAGACACCTGCTCGGGGATTTGTCCTGGAATGGAACGAATTCCAGGAGCCAGTCGGGATTGTAACTGGCATTCAAGGGAGATTTTTCGCACTCGGGAATATAACATCTGCAACAGAAAGGGATACCAAGAGAAAATACATGGTGACTTGAAATACAATGGCAGAAAGTACATGCAAAAATAACAGAAATCGTGAGTATTCAATAAATAACGCTGCATCAGATCATTCTAAGGTATTCTTGCTGAAGATAGACAACCATATAATGTCTCCGGTACCCAAAATGTAGTTGAAAGACCTAGCGCCATCTTTGAGACAGTATGATCTGAAACTGCTCTTAGAGAAACTAGAAATGTATGGCATTAGAGGGCTGCCCTTGGAATGATTTATATTCTATCTGAACAACTTACAACACTTTTGTGGAAGTAGAGATTCGGGCTTCTCAATGATTTAAATGTTTATTAGGTGTCCCACAGGGGTCCATATTAGAACCACTCCTGTTTACAGGGTGTTTTCAAAGTTGAGTCACTTATTTTAACCGCTTGTAGAACTCGTCAGAAGGAGTTCATATATCAAAAATCACATATGTATATAAAAGTTGCATAATAAAATAAATAGTAAAGGATTCAAAAAGTACACATTACACAGTTTTTTTGATATTCTCAACCGCTGTGTTATTTTATGATTTTCAGTACCAGTCTTTGATTCGATCTTTTGATAGAGCGTAATTTATTTAGATTTTCTTCGAGACAATCTGCCACAATTATTAGAAAATGTTCCTCCAAATGTGAAACAGGACATGTGGTTCCTAGATGTTGGGACCCTGCCACATTTTAGACGAGAAGTTCATGAACATCTAAATAATGAGTTTCCGAATAGACGGATAGGGCGCAATGGACCCATTTCTTGGCATGCTCGCTTCCCGGATTTAACGCCTTGCGATTTTTTTCTCTGGGGTTATTTGAAATAGTTGGTATATAATGATGGAGCAGTAAATACTCTGGAAGAACTTCGACAGCGCTCTGAAAATGCTTATAATTTAATTCGTGGACATCAAGTTTTTATCGATCAAATGAAGATAATTTTAAAGAGTTTTTGTAAAAAAAAACTTGCTAATGAATTTTTTTTAATAATTTTTAATAATGAAAACATAGTAAACTCTCTTATTATGCAACTTTTATATAGGTGATTTTGGTATATAAACTTGTTTTGACGAGTTTTACAAGCTGTTAAAATAAATGACTTAACTTTGAAACCACCCTATATACTTAGTATATTATCCATGTTTTGAATTTGCTGGGAATCGTCCATGCAGGTCGTTGGCTTAGAAGATATTTTGTGTGAGTCATTATATCTAAGTTTTAAGTTTATACATTCCACATGTACAATTATAACCATCAACTTGACATAACACGGTATTGTATTAGAATTTGGTTGTGCTACTTTTTATGTAAGTATTATTTTAATATTAATACACAAAAGAACCCGCAATTAATGATTCTATTATTTCCATTGTCTATTCAATTTTAAGTAATTTTGCCTTGACAACAAATCAAGACCTTGAATTTATTTGTCTGTAGACAAACGGAAACTTTTACTGTTGGATACGAATTGGAGAATTTTCATTGCTTGATAAAAACAAAGCATTGAACTTGCCGAACACAATCTAGCAGAATTATTCTCGAAAATAAACCAGACAAAAGCGCTAGTTAAGCTTATTTAAACCATCGAATAACGTTTCCAACAGGAGGTTAATTCTTGGAATGGGGGAATTGAATAATATTCCAAAAATGTGAATATATGTACCTTTTCATGTTTACTGGTGACGGTGGTCGACATATATACCAGGTGTCCCAAAAGTCAAACGCCGCAGGGTGTTAGGAGGGGGTCTTTTACATTCAGAAAAAAATGATATATGCGACTGAGCGTTATTTTTGAAAACTTGTAAAAAATCACTGCTTTTGAGACTATACTAATATTTTTGAAGTAATTTTTTGTTATTTGGCAATCAGCTTTACAAGATATGTCCCCACATGATGCGTTGAAAAGACGCTATCAATAAAAAATAGTCCAGTTAATGTAGGTACGGCTCAACCGTAATTTTATCTACTGTTTTCTGATTTGAAATGACTTCCCTATCTTGGGGTTAAATAAGTTATTTAATACCAATAATAAAATTAAAACTCTGAAAGACAGCTAACATCTGATGTTTAGCGTCTGCAAATAAAAATACTGCAGGATTTGATAAGAATATTTATTCATCATGGCTTAATTACACTAAATGAGATAAAGTCGGTTATTTTTCTATCGTAATACTTATGTAGGTTATTCAATAAGAAAGCATATAGGTACTTTACGTTTTGTTTGTCTGTATAAATGTCATTGAGCTATACAGGATGGACGACTAGCGTAGGACAAAAAGATAGCGTCAAGAAGATTGACTCCCACGCAATTTTATTATCGGTTAGTTCAGTTCATTTCCAGACCTAACCTTAATTCGGAAAAACTCCGATCAAGAAAATTGCATCTCATACATCTTGACTTTTATGGACTGTTCATCGATAACAATGCAATTAATGTTGTTCTTTGAAATCGACAGCACTGACTATGAATATTTACAGTGTCGATTATCTAAGTTGACGGATTGGCGTCGATTGAAAAAACTGCATCTGCATGAACTTCAACAGAATATGCAGTATCAATGTTCGTTTATTCTCTTGAATTTGAACAAGTTAGTATTGTTTTTTTTATGGTTACTGCCAGATTTCAATTGTCTAGTCATTATGTAAGGCAATAAATGCTATTATTATTATCAATATTTATTTGTCGGATCAAGTTTGAACTCATTCATGCTCTAGCGCGTTTACCCAATCAACGAATAAAAATAACGTTCTTCATGTAGATTTCTTCAGAGGTTCTTTACTTTCTCCATGTTTGTATTTCATATACTCCTGGGAGTACGAGGGAGAAAAAGTAATTCAAAGTAAACACCACATCGTCGAAAGGGAAAAACAATTTTCATAAGTACAGTCATATTTCCGAATGAAAACATACATGGTCGACATATTTTTTTATGTGAAATATATATGAAGCAACTTTCCTCGAGATAACTGAAATAACTTGTTGAGGGACTTTGTACCCTGTGGGCTTTTCACAAAGGAGATGGTGAAAACCGTGGACGACTTGCATCTCAATTATTACCGGATTTGCAATTTAAAAAGTGTGGGATTTCGGCAAGAGATACACATATTCCAGTCGTTGATATTTGTCACCGATGCACAAATGTATTTGACTTCAATTTACCTCAATAAAAAAGGAAGGCCCTGTGTTTGAGCTCATGAAAGAAATTTCAGTTTGATACAAGTACATTTTCGTTTATTGTCTTAAGTTATTTAGAACCTTTTATTTATTGTTAATTTTTAAAAGTGATAATTCTATAACGCCAATGTATTCCGATACAGCACTTTTACTATATTTTTCGGACTCTCCCTCTTATGAAAGCTGAAGCTAAGTTCGTTATGACAAAGTAATATCTACTTTACTTAAATATTGACAAATTCTCCAAGAGTGCACATGCTGTATCTTTGAATCCCTATTGTTGAAAAACTGTTCCTTACACAACTTTGTTCCCAGAGAGGCTTTAAAAGCAGTAAACCAAAATATACCCTGCATTGTTTGTGCCGTACTCTTTGTTGTAGGGTAAACGTACATTTACTTATCATCAAAACAATGTAGCGTCAGTTAACAAATGCCTGCAAGGCATTTTCTCTTTATCTAACAGGCAGATTATTTTACTCGAAAACATATATTCTTGAGGAGATTAAATACAGAAATAAAGCATTGCAAACATGATATAAAATTGCATTTCGAACAAAGTAGCGCTAAAAATAAATCCCGTCAAAACGCGCGCCAAAAATAAAGAACCTCCTTACACAAATCCGTCGCCGAAGAAATTCGCTTCCCGGACAATGTTTACATACTCTACAGACATCGCACGTGTTTACATTCACCTACCTGTACTTGATATCCCTCGCCGTGAAAATATAACTCAAAGAAAACGCGGAAAACACCGTCGCTAACAGCAAACACAAGAACACTCTCAGTTGGAACTTGCCCCATCTACCCGCTCTTTCCAAAACTTTGTCTACCACGTCTTCGCCCATGATGCTCAGTTGGCGTTGGACAACCCTCACGCGTACGCACTCATTTGTTTTTGCTGTCGCATTCTCTCGATTTTCAATTCTCGGTAGTGCGGAATTCGTGTTGCTCGTCGTTGCGGTTTGTGTTTATTTTAAGGATCGAGGACGTGAGATCACTGTTCCGCTTAGAAGTGGTTTATGTTGTGATCTGGATAAATCGTTCCCGGATCCCGATAGTACGTTATCTCGCCCCGAGAGGGGGTACCAGCTGACACGCGGTGTTATTGATCCTGGCCACAGAACGACCGGCTAGAGTACGAACGATTTAAATCGGATTGATATCCTCTAGCTTAACACGTTGACCAAAATGTCTATAGGAGATCGCTATAGTCTAGTAAATAAGTTATATATGATATACCCCTAGTGTGCAAATAGTTGGCTCCGCTCTTACTCGCCAAGGGCGCTGTTAGCGCCACCTATGGAGGAATGACTCAACAAACATGCTGCTATTCAGTTCACCAGCATGCATTGTTGATGGCAGAATCCCGAGATAGTCTGGAGAGTATATTTCTGAGAAGATTTGTCAGAAAGAAAATTGGTTGGGTAGCAGAGTAGCAAGATCGCGTCTGGATGATTGTGCATAAAAGCAATGATATTTGCTATGTGACAAAATTATTACTGAATATGCTGCTTATGAAGTATATTTATTAGCCGTATGGGTTATTTGTGTTGTCTTTTCTGGAGAGATATGTTCAAAGTTATAGATTACGATTTTCCCCGGTTTTAGTGCGTTTTCAAAACGTTGGGACGCATTACGAGAAGTCACCACTGTGCTCGCGTTTGGTATAATTAAGAATGACGTATCACGCGCAAAATATTTTCGCAGTGCCTCACATCTGGGCGGCGATTTGTGTTTTCTCCTTGACATATTCTTATAAAATTTACGTGACTGGAAATAAAAAATAATGCAAAAACCTTTTCACTTCTTATTAATATTCCTGTCTGTATCATTCATATTTTCTCACTCGTTATTTATGCTAGTTAGTAATGTCCACTGGTGGACAGTTGCGGCCACTCCAATTTGACCTCGAAATGTTAAAACAACATATGAAGATTAATTTATTTCGTAAATTTTGAATGTCTTCTGCATATTTAACAAGAACAGTTTTTAGATGCATGCAAATTTACTAAATGAGAGAGCTTAAAAAGGAAATTTCTGGTTGATGAAGTAAACTGGTGGACAGTTGATTTGCAACATGGGAAATTTCAGATCGAAAAGACATATCGAGTTCGATTTTCGGGAGGTTCTTGACCAACTCTTCGAGAACACGTACAAGGTTCGATCGGTATATTTCTTTTATTTATCCACTTATATACAGAGAGAACAACGGAAGTCGCGTTTTTTTAGCAAGGTTTGGGGTTATGTCAGATTCTCAATTTATGATCTTGAAAATTTTTCAATGCATCTTTTTGATCTTTAAAGTCTCGTAAAAAAAAGTAATTTCTCAAATTTTTCGAAAGTTGGCTATAACTTAAATTATTTAAAATATTTATATATATTTATCCCTAAAAAAGAGAGTTTTTTGAAAGATTGAAGTACTCATTGAACGTTACTGCCTCCAGTGGCATGGAGAAAAAATTTGCTACTTTGACATTATGTAATTTAAACCGAATTTATAAATTTTACAATGCAATTGAACAGCTTGATGAATAAATCCAAGTTACTGCTCTTAATATAAGAGGGTGTATTCCAGTGGCGTAACACCAAAAGCATTTTTTTGTTTGGTAAGAGGTGACTAATAACTTGAAAATGTTTATTTTTCAAAATGCTATGATGCTGATCAACACTGCTATTCATCTTTTATCTGTAATTTTTGTCTTTCTCCAAAAGCATTAGTTGTGTTTTTATTATATTAGACTTTCCCACCACTGGCACATTCACCCTACAATGATATTTAACAGCATTTTTCTTATATTGTCTCTCGTATTAACAAAATGCTAATTTCTTTAACACGAGTTAAACATCGTCAAAAAATTGATTCCAATGTTGTTAGATGGATACATCAATGTTTTGTGCCGCACTTTTTGAATATTTCTCGACTAGACTAATAGATCACTGTAAAGTACGTTTCCATGAGTTAGATATAAACTTGCATAATCTTTCAATGGCAATAATCGCAATAAAGATATAAACTCAATACAAACATCAACCTTGCACTTTTTAAAACAACGAGTATAGCATGACATAACACAGTGTTCACGTATAACTAAAAAACTGAATCTGATTGGGAATTTGTTGTACTTGTTCCGTTTTAAAATGTATGACTGCCGATGTAAACACTGCATTATCAGCTTTGGTTAATACTGGTGTTTACTAGTATGCCTCGCTGTTGTAACTACTCATATATCATTATCATTAGTCGCATTTTTGTATTTGCTGAAAAATAAATAGTAACTGCAAAGAGTCAGAGTATTTATCCTCTACTCAGTGGCGTAGCAAGGGTGTCACCTTTTTTGGGGTAACACTCACCCGATGACTCAACTTTTTCAGAGTTGAACACCATACAAGATATTCAAGGCCTAGCTCCATTGTTTTAGATCATTTAAAAAATACTTTGCTTTTGGCGAATACAGAAGAACTGAAATTAGCTCAAACCAAATTTTCTGATTTCTATGATGAGGTCTCAGAAACAGAATTACTTTTGGAGATACCAAGACTGCGAACACACTTAAGAGCCGTATTTTAAAGTTTAGGACTGGGTATCTAAGTTTATTGCAGAATGGGATCTTACACGAGGCAATATAAAATATAAATTTTGATGAAGTTATTTCTGAATTTGCCGCTGTCAACGCTAGAAAGAAGAGATTTTAATTGTAAGATAAAAATATTATTTCTGTCTTAGTTTTAATTGATTTTTTATTTGTTGGATATTCTAAATATAAATATTAAATGATCCATGACGTTTATAAATCATATAAAATTTATCGCTTTTGACTTTCGATGGGGTGACACCACCAACTCCCGCACCGAGCGCCACCCAAAGTAGCTACGCCACTGGTTGGAACTACTCTTATATCATTATAATTAGTAGCATTTTTGTATTTGCAGTAACTGCAAATTGATCAGCGTATTTATTCTCTACTACTAAATATTATAACAGTTTTTGATATAATTTCAGGCCTGGCAATATGCGTATTCACTGAAAGGCGCCTGTTTTGAATTATAGTATGTAACGTATTAGAATATTTTTCAAAACAGCTACAAAGATACCCCCCTGACTAATGTGATCCCAATTGAGGTCAAAAGTTATTGACTAGCAACTATAAAAGAACTGATAACATTGTGATAGTCTGCCAGTTATCATTTGGATCAAATATGTTTTGACTGTCTTCCTGCGTTCACTTGAGACAAGATACTTAAATCTGGGTTAAAGGTATTGGATCTGCCAGTAGGCGATAATGGAAAATTTTCAGCACAACAGTGTTCGTTCAAATATAATTTATTTATTAGATGCACTTTTGAAGAGTAAAGTGTAATTACATATACAAAAATATTATTTAAAATTTTCAACGCCAACGCCATGTCCGTTTGGAAGATATCCGCGGGAAATTTAAATCTGGCAAGTCTGACAACGCCAATTGTCAATGATTACAAACTTTCAAATGCGTGCCTCAATGCCTCAAGAAACACCTTGTTCGTTACATAACGAGATATAAGGAAATCCAAGATGTTTTACATAAATATGTTGTTTTAACTAATTTTCATTCCGTATATAACTAAAGAACCGCAATATGCTAGTATTCAAATACTAGCGCTTTTATCTTCAAGTGGTCGTCTTCACTATGAAACATACAAGATCTATTCTTAGAGTCTCATCTCTATCAGTTTTCTTTTTTCTAGTTCTGTGAATTCCTCTGTGACGTTTGTGACATTCTTATGTTCGCCTTCGCCATTTTAAAGCTTTTGTGAAAAGTGATCAAAAACTTAAGAGGTGAGACAAATTTATCGATCAAATTTGATAGTGCCCTACATCAGGCAGCATTCACAAATCAATTCAAACTTCAAACATTACATTTCACGTATTATTCGTGCCCATCAGGAAGTTTAGATGTTCGATCAAGTCACCCTGAATGTTACGTAAACGGTCTCAACGTTCAAACCGGCCTTTTCGATAAAGCTCAAGTCTCTAATTACATTCGTCTAGTACTTTGTCTTTTTCACGCTTCATTAGTTCGACATCGCACATTACATAACTTAACCTAACTTTTTCACGGGTTCAAGGTGGCAATGGCAGGAACACTGGTCGCCCTGGGGCTCAGGGCCATCAAGCACGTCCCCAAAAATGCTCCACTGCGGTCGGCGGCTGCCATGAGCAGTTACACACGCACGCTGATAGGGAAAAGGGAGATTGTAGGATTTGGATTCAATGGGGAACCATCCTACATTGACCGTGCTGACTATCCCATGCCTGCCATCAGGTGGAAGGAGCCCAACGCAGACATTCAAGTGAGTATTTCCTCAATTCCTAATATAATTTTTCATAAAGCACTTGCAAAATAGATTAAGAACTTTGTTCAACTATAACAGACTTTCCAAAGAACTGAATGTTTAGCAAACTAGATAAACTGTTGAAATTAGAATGTGCAATTATTTTCGAAATTTTTTAACAATCAACAAAAGAGTAATACAAAAATTCTGATCACACACGATGTGAGTGACTATGAAACAAGATCATATAATAATTTGTACCGGATTCTTACTAGAACGAATATGAAATTGAATAATCTTGTCACTGTTGCAGTAAAAACAAAATAATCTACCAAGTAGTGCACAGAATGTACATTTATTCAGAAATTATGTAAAAACACTCAAAAGTCGGTTGAATTTTTTAATTTACTGTTCTTTAAATTTGTACTTTAAATATTGTTCTTGAGGCCAGTGTTTTAAATACAGATTAGGGAACTTTGCAGAAATTTACTGTTGAATACAGATTTGTTTTAAAAAATTTGGACATTTTACATTGTAGTAGTGTATCCAATAATCTATTTTAGCACATTTTACAGTAAAATTATGGTGTAGCTATTTTCAAGATTCTGATTCAGATTAAGTTTGATGTATGTAAAAAGTGATAGGAAGTCCTGAGTATATGAAATATTTTGGATACTGTGTATCTTAGTAATCAAGAAACATAAGATTTGGGCAATATTTAAGCTCAAAAAATGTTTCTTGATTTGACTTATATAATAAATAAAATGGACCTTTTTTGGGAAAGACAGTCTTGTTTCACTATATATTTCAAACAGTATAGAATCAAGACTGATTCTATCAGACCCAAATAAAATACATTATTTTTTTTTTTAGCTTAAGCATTAACCTTTTCAAAAGTATTATACTTATATAGTACTTCAATAAAGGCTTCAACAGTTTACATATAGTTAAATTATAGAGTGTGCTTAAAAAGTTGAAGAAAAACAAATTATTCTACAGGGTATTTACTTAATTGAAGGTCAATGTTTAAGATGATTTTTGGGTCCATTTCAGGAAAACAAAATCATAATGTTCTAAATGTCTTGAGATTCAGAGTCAAAGTTTTCAATATATAAATTCAGAAGCACTCCAGTGGCTTTTTCTTATAAAAAAAATCTATATTCATTTATGAGCAGATTTGATCTACTGAAATTTGTTAACCTGATGCACATTTCACATCTAAAAAAAATAAAAACTTTCTTTGCATGGTGATATTGTCATATTGATGATATTGTTCATGATCATACAGAGAAACTGTTCTTATTTTTTTTAATCACATAGACTGCATCAGATTGAAGGAATCAAGCACTCAAATCTGATTAAAAACAACTGAGATTTTGAATAATTTTTATTTTAAATGAAATCAGTGAATTATTATCAGTGTGTGCCAATTTAGGCAGGTTAAATTCTATACAAACAAAAGTAGTAGAAATTGAAAAAATATATTCTACATTAAAAATGTCCTCAGCTTGGCAAACTTTGTCAATACAGTAGCATTGCAAATATTAATGATAAATCATTTAGTTTTGAAAATGTATCTCAAAAGTTATGATGTTTAGGACAAACTTTCATAAGAAGTTTTTGTCTTAAAATGGACTCAAAAAACACCCATTTAAATATTGACATTTAGATAGGAAACAATGAAATGTGATATAAAAAAGGCTTTCTTGTTCGGTGTCTTGGACTTTGTCTGATACTGCCAGCATTCCTAATATTTCACATCTTTAACTCCAAGTAGACTAAAATTCTGATTTTGAATTTCTATTTTGCAAAGGCGCTTCGCGAGAAAGAAAAGGGAGACTGGAAAAACCTCTCTGTCGAAGAGAAAAAAGCTTTGTACAGAGCTTCTTTCTGCCAGACTTTTGCCGAGTTTAAAGCACCTACAGGCGAATGGAAATCAGTTTTAGGAATTTCACTGATGTTCGTGTCTGTAGCCCTCTGGGCGTTCTATGGTCTTAAGGCATTTGGTAAGTTTACATATGGTTGAAATAGGAACAAAAACTAGCCATTTTTTCACGAGTAAGAATTACGCTAAAATAACGGCTAATTATCTATGTAAATTCTGACGAATCCATCAACAGAGATGCATTGCTTTTTTTTTTGTACCCTACTGATTCATTTTGTACTTGCTAACAACTCTTTTATTTAGAAAAATTCCTTTTCATACCAAAAACAAAACACTACAAGCAAAATGATCAGAAAAAAAATGTGAAAATATATTCTCTTCTATATGTTTTCTTTCAGTTTATTCTCCTCTGCCAGATTCATTCAAGCCAGAAAACAGGGCAGCTCAGCTGCGGCGTTACATTGATTTGCACGCCAATCCTGTCCAAGGTCTTGCTTCCAAATGGGACTATGAAAAGGATGACTGGAAGAAGTAAAATTATTTTTTTTGTTGATTTTCTGTAAGGGGAACTTTTATCATGACAGCCGATAAAAGTTTCTTTTATAACAAATAAAAAAGAAAAATAGTAAAACTATCCAAAATAGCATATTATTTTATACCTTGTATCATTTGTGATTTACCATCAGCTGCTAAGGAGTTGATTGTGTTAATGATGTAAACATGGGTTAAGTATTAATTCTATAAATTATTTGTTTTAGAAGTTGTTTTATTTTTCCATTAACATAATTCAAAAGAAGAGGGAAGAAAATCCAATTATTCTAGCACTTGACTTTCATCCTTATAGTTTTTTGGGGTAGCTGAGTTTGAATCTGTGGTTTGTTCCTTATTGAAGGTAATCTCGAGGTCACTTCAATGTCAAATTGAGAAAATGTCGAGAAATCAAATTACCGGATCTTTTTGAGGTTTTTAGAGTTGCTGCTATGTTATGCTTCCTTAGCCCAGCCTTTGATATATTTTTCAATTTGACCTTGAAACGCTCTTCAAATGACCTGATACAGATAACCCAACTTTGGACTCAAAAACCTAAGTACAGGGTTCGACTTGTATTTTCTCAATTTAACGTTGAAAAGGCATGATTCTGACTCGTCGACCCCAAAAACACATTGCTTGACAGTGCATATTAAACAAGATCAGCCATCTAGCGGCACGGATATTAAACTCGAACGGAGATCCTTAAGAGTTCCGACTAATCGCAGCGATCCACACTGGTCGATTCTGGTACGAGAGATGGTGCTTTACGCAGTTGAATACCATATACTTCCTAAACTTACCGCTTTGACGTTCTAATTGAGACCGTCGGTACCCCGGGATAGACATCCGTCTTGACAGATAACCTTCTCATTCTTGCCACCTGGATTGCCGCGTTGTCAGCTTACCGGACGATTCTGCTATTTTGATAGAATGTTATGAAAAAAGAAGTTTTGAATAAAATATTGAGGAATACCAATGGAGATATATAAAATTTGAGGCGTAGCAATGTTTGCCAAAAAACTAAACGACAATGCGGCGGAACGTTAATGTCTCTGAACATTTTTCAAATGCCCAGTTTTATAGAATAAAATACTTTTTGAATACTGTTCTTCCAAACAATGTTTTATTATATAAATATATTTATTAACTATTTATATAAAATTACACGATCTTAATAGGAGGAGTACGATTTTCAATTTATTCTTCTATTTTTAGTATCCGTCTTATACGCAGAGATATTAGACATTCATTTTAAGGAGGCTAAAAATGGACAGCTTAATAGCTTAATCCAACTAATAACTCGTCGATCATGTGGAATTACAGGCAGACGCATTTTGAACGCATCACATCCCTACTCTTATTGGACATTTGGTGCCCACGTATCCTCAAACAACCAGACATTGCAGTTTCCTAAGCACGGGGCTGAGATTCCAGGTTTGAAAACGCCCGAGAATCATTGCTTGATATTTTGCACCATATTTAGTAAAGATAGTGCCAAGGGCTTAGTGTCAAAGCACGAACTGTCAATTATAGACTACTACCAATCCCTTGGACTAAAAATAGTTTTTTGTTCGAGAAGTCCCGTATTCCAGAAGTATTGTATCGTAAAAAAACTGGGCATTTATAAAAGTATTCAGAGACATTAACGTTCCACCGCATAGAGGCCAGGCGACGCAAAATGTAAATAACAGCTTTTTTTAGTTTTCTGGCAAACATTGCTGCTCCTCAAAGTTTATATATCTCCATTGGTATCCCTCAATATTTTATCCTAAGCTTCTTTTTTATAACATTCCAGCAAAATTGTCCGATGAGCTGGCAACGCCGCAGTCTAGGTGACAAGAATGATAAGATTCTATGTCTATCCCGGGGTAACGACGGACTCATGTAGTACGTCAGAGCGGCAGTTTCCAATCTTCATTTGCATTTTTCAAGCGGTGCGCAACGATTTCGAGAAAAATTTCGCTACGGATAGTCTTCTAGGGTTTAGTTGAAAAAATTTATAAACGAGTGTCCATATTAGACTGTATCGATTGACTCGTTCCGTAGCTACTTTTGAAAAGCCGGTACAAGTTAAGAAATTGTTGTTCTGTGGTTGACATGTCAATTGATAGTAACGCGTATTGTAAATACTCGTTATCGAATTCATCTAACGTCATCTGATTGACGTCTCCGTCACGAGGTTTCTCCCTTTCCCCATGCATTTTCTGTTTGGGCAGCATTTTATTTTCGTCGCTCGGTGAGCGTGAGTGACGGTCGGTACGTTGTAAAGTTTCGTTCACGAATGCTATAAATCGCATCCGAACACAGAAAACAAATCGGTAAAAATGTCCGTGAACGGTTTGAACAACGGCTCGCCGCGTAAACGGGCTCGATCGGAGGCCGAGTCAAAGGTGACGGTCATTTTGGGGGCCCAATGGGGCGACGAGGGCAAAGGCAAAGTGGTCGATATGCTGGCTACCGATGTCGACGTCGTCTGTCGCTGCCAGGTACGCATTTTTTTCATATTATTAACTGTTTATCGATAATAACCGTTTTCTGGGCTGAACTATTCGATAGCGAAACGAGACCTTCGGTTTATTTACTCTGGTAATGCAAGTTTTCACTTGCTTGGCTTGATATAGCTTGCCAGGTGTGTATTCACCCTTAATAAACACTCACAGTTCCAGCCTCCAAAATAGAGCAGAATATTTTATTTTGGTTTGCACGTCATAGTCGATGTTTTACCTTGAAATTTTTATGAGGAAATGTAAGGAACAATTTTTGCTACAAGACATTGAGAGTATATTTTACATTTTAAATCTACTCAGGGTTTAGTAAACATGGATGATTCTATAGTCAAGTATCCAGAATGTTTCTTGTGATACTTCAACTCTTTCAATGTCTTGTTTTATAAAATCTGAAATTCCTACTTGATGTATATCCATAACTTTCAATTTAATAATTATCAAACTTCTAAATTTTCTGATGATGACATGGAATCGTTGTATTTATTTTTCTAGTAATGCCAGTTGAATGATATAATTTCTACAAATAGGGTCGAGTCTTTCTAAAGTCGACCATACATGAAATCTACCTAGATTAACATATATGCATTTAAAGAATTTAATTGACGTATTTTGAACCCCAACACTTGCAAAAAAACTAGCTATAACTTTAATAAATTATTCAATTGTTGTTTACTTTCCTTTTCTTGACTACATGACCAGATCTAGAGTACAAAAAATTATTGCAGTAGGTTTGTGTATGGTCTGTAAAAGTTTAGTCATGTGTCACAAAAGATCAATGAGTTGAGAGAGAAATCTCAGGCATAACAACTGTTCAATATATACAGGGTGGAATTTAATTAATGGCTAAAAATGCAGGATATGATTTCTTAGCTCATTTTAGGGAGAAAAAAAGTATATGTAGACAAATTAATATTGTGCTGTATTTCTTTTTTAACATGTTTTATTAATTCACCAACCTGTATTATACATAATTTGTTATAGCATAATACTCACTTATACATAAATAAATTCATTAGACTCCCTTCATTAAAAAAGTAATTGAAAAAAACTATGAAGGACAAAAATATATGGACAAAGCAAAACAATTATAGAAAAAAGAAGCAAAGTTCATTGAATTATAGAAAACCACCCATAATTGTGTTAATATGTTGTAGCATAACCATTATTATCAATCACTGCCTGACATCATCTCGGCATAGATTGTAGAAGTTTCTTGATATAAGATTCATCAATCTGTCTCCACTTTTGCTCTAAAGCGGCAAAAAGTTCATCCTTGTTTGAATAATTTTTATCTCGTATTTGCTTATCTAAGTATTCCCATAGATTTTCAATGGGGCTTATATTAGGAGACTGTGAAGGCCATTTGAGAACTGGTATTTTTTCATCCAGAAAGAATTTCTCTGCGAGATTTGAAGTGTGCCGCGGGTCATTATCTTGCTGGAAGACTGATCTTAAGGGCATATGGTCTTCCATATAGGGTAACATGACATGCTTTACTATGTCTGTGTATGCAAACTTATCCATAATGCCATCTATCCTATGTAAAGGTCCCATCCCCAACCCTGAAAAGCACCTCCAAACCATAACAGACCCACCTCCATGTTTGACAGTGGGCAAAGTGCACTTGGGGTTCAATCTTTGTCCACTAGGACGTCTAACGTAATGAACACCATCTGATTCAAACATATTGAACTTGGATTCATCATTGAAACATACCCTTAATGATCAACTTATTCCACAATACTTGATGAACACAAACTAATCCTCTTCTGACACGAAACTGTACTAAACTAATGTTGAAAATAATTTGTCTACATATTTTTGTCCCTCATGAAAAAGTGCTTATAGTCAGACTTGTATTGTGTTCATTGCAGATAATGTAAAAACAACGAATTTAGTTTTTCTACTAATAACGCATTTGTTTATAAAGCAATGAAGTATGAATTCGTTTTCTAAAGGTGTTTAGGTAAACATTCATATTTGTCTATATACTTTTGTCCATGTCCCAAACCTCTTAACTTTTGAGCTACAGGGTGTACAAATTTTAAGAAAAAATCCATTTCTTATCATGACTTTAATACTGTTCTAGATATTTTACATGAAATTTGACACCTACTAAGGCATTCTTTCATATAGAATATTTTTCAATATTTGTACCAGTGGCGTCCGTACGGGATAAAAATGGTACGCTATTGCTGAATGAAAATAATGTCTCTCTCGAAATATCTACGACAAACGTCATTTAAAAATCGTTGCGGACTGTATATAAAAACAAGCCTCGGAAAAATACGGGCGATGAAAAATCGTACGTTTTATATGATATGAAGCAAAACATATAAAAATCAAAAATAAAGATTTACAAATTTAGAACCGCCAAGAAAATCCGCTGTCATTGGAAAGTGTGAAGCAAAACAAACACTTGTGAAGCGGAGTTTTTTTTTTAGCGAATTGGTTTCGCGCGCCGCGAGTCACACGTTACCTAATGCTTACAAACAGTTGTCACATGATTTTGTGGTCTAAAAATATACGATGCGACGGAAACGCCCACACGCTGTGTTCACATAGCCAGTGCGTAATGCCGAAATGTTGGAAATTGTTACATTTGATGCTAACAAACGACTAGGGTTGAACCCACACGTTTAATCTAACTGGTGCCCAATTGTTTTTACCTCTTCGAGTGAATTTCATAGGCTAATTGACTCATAATCTGATTTTATCGAATACATGACTATTTCTTACAATGTTTGGCTCAGAAAACCGAAGTAGATGGAATTTCCCTTTACGGATACAAAATAAGAAGAAACGCCTTATTTTTGTCTGTTTAGAGTATCGCTATTGCATTTCTCGATCATGCCGCGCTCCATCTTCGCTGGGACTTTCTCAAGTAAAGCGGGGATTCACCGATTTCAATCTGTCAGTACAAACACGCCTATGTCTATGTGGTGCGTTTCTGGCCGTCGTGAATTGGGGACTTCCCCGAGTTGGTCGGGGATTTACCGTTGTTATTCTTTGGGCACACGGTTTCGATTCAATTTGTGCCCAACTCATTATGGCAGAGTGGTTGCAAGACCTAGATTGGAAAATGGCTGAAGAAAAAAGAAACATTATGTTATTTTTAGACAATGTGGGATGTCATCTAAGACGCTTAAATAATATAAAATACTTATTTTTGCAACTGATTTATTTTTTGAACCTAACATAGATGAAAGTTGAAGTACAAGAAATGAAAAAAGCAAGAAATTTTACGTAGGAATTTGATCTTGACCTCGAACAACATTAAGGTTGACACAACCTTGAATTTGAGGTCAGGGTTACATTTCCAGTGTAAAAAGGTGAGATATCCTTTGGAAATTTTGACTTTGTCACATTTAAGTCATCCCCACAAACTCACAACTGTGCTTTCGAACAATTTTACTGGAGCAAATAGTTTTCAACGTCTAATCAAGACGTAAAATTTCTTGTTTTCAATGCCTATATAAAAAGAGGTTCTATTTGAAAACGTTCGCTTGACCTTGAGATGACCTCGTAGATCGTGAAGAAGGTCATTGTCGAGGTCACTATCTCCTCACCTTAAAAGTTTTGTTTGAAACTTTTTTTACAGCATGCGTTGTTTTTGAAGTACTTAAGCGGGAAAATTAAAATGGGACGCCCTGTATATATTCGTAGTTTACTTGATGAAATTTTTTTAAACAACTTCCTGTGTTGATAACGTATATCAAAAATGAAGTATTCTTAGCACAGAAAGACTAGTAATTTTTGAAAGCATTGGATTCGCTTTCAGTTTGCCTGATTTTTTTCATTAAATTCCAACGATATTTGAAATGTCATATTTAAAGGTTTATATTGATATTTTACACAGATGTAAGTAGGCGTTAGTGTCATTGACTCTGTCTAGCTTGTATCAGCGACTATCTAACCGCAAGATATTTGTATGATTAGCGTAATTGTAATTTATGCGCTTGATAATGTAATTAGTGTAAATTTGATATCAGGCTATAATATTTCGTATCGCAGATAACATTTTCATAGAAATAATCCTTGTTTACATAACTCGAACGCCATTTGTTAGTTGAACCGGGAATCTTTTTTAAATTAGTTGATAATATTGTTCGTAATCAAGTTACAGTTGTTACCTTACTGCACCTCAAATGCTTTTTTTTGGTTCTTTTGTTTTATTGATTAATGCATCTAAGGGAATTAATAAGATATTTATCACCTCCTCGTAGGAGCTGCCTCTTCTTAAATGGCATCTCAGAATTATTAAGTTGGTACTTACTTGCAGATATTTGCAGTTGGAAATTTTCTAATATTCCACTTTTCAAATCTGATTATTACCAACCGACAATACTATTACGAACTTTTAATATGTATATGTTATTTATCACGTCTAGCAAGCCTTTTCGCACAACATAAATGAAAATTACTATTTTTCAAATTAATAATGAATTATTCCGAATTAGTCATGTTAAAATTCTTTGTCAAAATACTCTTTTTGAAGCTCTGCAAGTTTAAGGTCTTATAGTTAGCTGGTAAGTAAAAGACCTTTCAAAAACTGAGGAGTGCTATATAGAAATGGATAGTAGATGATCGTGCCGAAGATTAAGAGTAATTTGGTTTCCACGAGGAATCAACTTATCGAATAAATTTTCCGGTTTACCAGATTTAAAAATTCTATGCGCCAATGAAACCATGAATTGAATAAACAGAGCTACTGGAACTCCTCGATCTTTGAGGAAAATCTACTATACTTCCTAAGACCAAATATGAATCTGCAATAGCCGTACTTAAAGCATCGCAAACCGCAATAAACTATAAAGGTGGTTGTGCTAAAGTAATGATCAAAGAAACCCAATAATCAGATTAGTATTGCGTTTGTAGTCTATGTTAGTCGAAACATTTTTTTTCAGGGTGGAAACAACGCGGGTCATACTGTTGTCATCGATGGAATTGAATATGACTTTCATCTACTGCCAAGTGGTATCATTCATCCAAAGTGTAAATCAGTTATAGGTAAGGTAATCTCTAAAAACCCTGAATTTATTCATCTCAGTATGAATGTAGCATTTTCTAAACATTTTATATCAGTTTGGCAACACCGCGTCGGTGAATGCTGGGTCGCCTAGGTGCGAAACACGCGGATTTCTGGCAGAATATCGATCCATCTATGAGCTAATCGCCAAACCAAGGATTATATCCCTTTCTGACATTGATATGTTATGTTAAAACCTAGCAGCTGTTAAGCATAAAAATACAGACAACACAAAAAATATGTCGCTCAAAAAAATATTTTAAGATCCAAGAATATCTGACAAATCGCAAACCTATGGTAACAAAAAATAAATGGGACTTTTTGAGGATGTTTTTTGACAAGTCCTGAATTTAGGGGATTTTTACATTTCGACTGGGGAAACTGAGCTAAACCATCTGACAACTCTGTTGGATTCGGTTTCGGGGAATTACACACATATGACTCGCACTATTGATTGATTAAACGTTATAGTTTAAAACAAAACATTATTGTGATAGTGATGTAAAATCGAGTTTAGGTGGGAGGCGTATGTTATACAATTGTTTAACCTATTTTTATTAGTGAACATATTTGACAATCTAGTCATGCAGTCGAAAAAAGTCAACGTTATTTTGGGGGTTGTAGAAAAAACAACTTCGATTTTCGGCAGTGTATGTTCCGTATCGAAAGGTTTCGATACTAGTATCGATATTTTTATTCCGGTATTTCAGAGTATCGATACGAATCGATACATGGCATCGATACCTTTCGTGGATCATCTCTTGTTGGGATCGGTGGTGGGGAAACCGACAAACACGACGGTGGTGCCAGATTTCGCGTAGCATCACGGCAAAGATGCAGCGTTGGTAACCTTAAATTTTGAGACAACCCTCGTATAAACAATTGCCACGCATGATTGCGTTGTTGGTACACATTTTTCGTAACATTCAGACCGAGGTAAAATATATTGGCGACAGCTGAATAATTTTGATTCGACCGCGTTTTTGTCATTTTTTCTCAGTTGGCACGTACACGCTGTTAAAATTGGATTTACTTCATGAAAATTTGTAGGTTATTTTTTGCGAAATTTATGGCGCCGCGTGTTATTATGCGCCAGCGTTGCCACGTCTCGCACAGTTGTGGAATTTTCTAGAACAATCCGTACGAACTCTTAGAAACAATTACATTGAATTAGTAAAAGTCTAATATGTATGGTTTCAGGAAATGGTGTCGTCATACATCTGCCGGGTATGTTTGAAGAAATCGAAAAAAACGAGAAAAAAGGGCTGAAAGGTTGGCAAGAAAGACTCATCATTTCCGATAGGGCGCATTTGGTTTTCGATTTGCACCAGCAGGTGGATGGATTGCAAGAACAGGAGAATAATAAGAAAGGACAAGGTAATGATTTAGGATCTAAATACATGTTGCTTCTAGAACCTTCGGTAATTTAGAATGCACATCAAGAGAATTAGAAAAGAATCCTTGATAATGTCTACATCAAAACTATCAATTACTGTTTTAACCTCAGATGCATTGTTTTTGATTAAAATTAGGAAATGACAAAAAGATATCGCATCCTCTTATATAGTAAAATAAAAATAATATGAATTAGGTAACCTAGATATAAAATTTCATCACGATCAGCTTTCCTCTCATACAGATACCTCGAGTATATATTTTATCGTAATCTTTGTGATGTACGTATTTTCATTTTGATAAGGCGGATCAAAAACTAACAATGACTATTCGTGTGTGAAGTTAAACTCTTTTTTTAGACCCACGTGAAGGTTTGTTCATATAGTCAAACACATTTATTGCCTTGGAATTGTTCTGATTGAAAACGACGTTTCATACTTTTCCGCAGAGGAAAATTTTCGTTGTGTATTACTTATTTTTTATTCGGGTGAGGCAGAATATACAAATACGTTTATTTTTATCTCTCGTAAACTTGTGACTATGGAAAAGCTTATCACAATGCATTGCTTTGTACGGCTCTCGTTTGAATGTTCTTGATTTGTATTTGTTTTCAAGGACTTGGTACCACTAAAAAAGGTATAGGACCTACATATTCCTCGAAGGCTATCAGAAATGGCATCCGTATTGGCGATCTTTTGGGAGATTACAATCATTTTTCAAAGAAGTAAGTAATAATTTTTCAGTGATAGTAAATTAAATAATTATTGTATATCAAACCGCATAAAAAATAAATCTGTTACTATGTATTTTGTGTTCAGTTGAGTGACACTTATGTGCATAAATAGAGAAACGCGTTTTGGCAAGGTTTTAGATACGATCACGTTTTAGTCAGTCTAAATGATACGTTGACATGATGCTATGTTGCCAGAAAATGTTTATGGAAATAAAACTGATCTCAAACACATGTCTGTGATTCGACTATTTTTGGGTCAACGCGTAATGTCACATGCATTTAAAGTGATTATTTTTGTTCGGTTTACATGGATTTTTTCTTGTAGAAAATGGGAAAATTTTGAAATATCTATCTACATCCTAGATAAGTCTGGTCGGATATTATGACCAAAGAGCAGCTATACAGTTGTTTCCAATGCACGTGTGATTTTTTAGCAAAAATTAATAAACCAATTTTAAAAATCGGTTTTTATTTTTTCTCTCGAAAACGAAGTGAGATACGAAAAAAATACAGGAGGCAAGGAAGTTGTATCTTTGGACACTTAATCAAACAAAAATATTAAAGTTGCAAAAAGGCAGTGGCGTACATTGTTTTGCCAATAAGATTCGCTAAGGTGCCCCCCCCCCCCAAGACACCACTGGACCTAATAATTTTAATCTATTTTCGGCTTAATTATCATTTTAATACAAAAAATAATATTGGCAAATTTCAACAGAATCGAGTTAACATTTTTTAAGATATTAATATTTTTTTTTTAATTCATCACCCTATATTTGTCGAACACCCTGTATACATATCTTGTTATGCAACATAAAAGAACACACCACGCACAATAACTAATTAATGATTATCCAAATTATCAGTGACAAACTGCGTGAAACTAACCAAATCAGTGACAATATATCTGTCCTTGAAAAAAACATGCTGGGAAATAACAACTTGGCCACATACCAAATGTGGTCGTTCAGAATTATTTCAAATACGTACTTTCAAAAAATTTGGCAAAATCGATATAGCGAAACCGCCACTTTTGTGTACGGGACGGATCTTTGCCTTTCCAGGTTGTTGGAGATTGTGAAGAGCTGTGTGCTAAGTTGACGATAACCGTTAAACGAGCTGCAAGAACTTGAGCACGGTTTTTTACGAGAAAAGATGGAATACCAGCAGACAGTTCATTTTTCAACCTTTTCATTGTTCGGTATACATCGTCCTCATAGACAATAATTGCTATAGTAATGTTTATGATGCTACTATTGACATTCATTTAACAAAAACATAACATAATGCTAAATAAACCGGCGTTTATGAAGACATTCCACTATGTATCTTCTTGTGATGTAACCACTCTTTGTTATGACCTGATTTAGTTTTCTTTATTCAAATATGTAACTAATTTTGCAGGTTTCACGAGCTAGCAATGATGTACCAAAGAATGTTCCCATCTCTCAAAGTGGACATCGACGCGGAACTGAAAAGATACAAGGAATTCGCTGAGAAAATACGTCCGTTAGTGTTCGACACGGTCAGCTTTCTGGATAAATCCCTGAGGTCGGGCAAAAAGGTGTTAGTCGAAGGCGCGAACGCCGCCATGTTGGATATTGATTTCGGTGAGTTGGAAAATAATATTTAGATTTTCTTATACTGAGGAACCTTCATAACGATTGATCGACGTGTTGTAATGAAAACAGTTTCACTGGAAAACGCTGGAACATTTCTCGACGGGTCCTTAGGGGGATAAATGCCCGACCAGATGGCGGATGCAGTTAGTCGTGGAGATGGAGTCAAACAACGCGGAATTAAGATGGCATAATAGCGCAGTCGAGATGGTTATACAATGTCATAAATTGGTACAGGTGTATTAATTTTTTGTCTCATAAGATAACTAGCGTATAGCTCACAGCATATTCTAGTGAATTATTTTGGCACAATTCGAGTTTTTCTGGGTATTGCAGGATATGCGATATTTGGATTTTGTCCAAAAAAGCTTATAAGTTAATTTAGTATTATTTCATATGATATTTTGACTCTCATAGACAAAAACAAAATGAACGATTTAGAACATACAGTAATGGACAAAAGTATATAGACAAACATGAATATTTACCTAAATACCTTTAGAAAACGAATTCATACTTCATTGCTCCATAAACAAATGCGTTATTAGTAGAAAAACTAAATTCCTTGTTTTTACATTATCTGCAATGAACACAATACAAGTCTAAATATAAGCACGTTTTCATGAGGGGCAAAAATATGTAGACAAATTCTTTTCAACATTAGTTTAGTACAGTTTCGTGTCAGAAGAGGATCAGTTTGTGTTCGTCAAGTATTGTGGAATACGTTGAGTGATTACAATGCGCACAGTTGCATCTTGATTGGAGCATCTGTGACTGGAAAAGGGTATGTTTCAGTGACGCATCCAAGTTCAATATGTTTGGATCAGATGGTGTGCATTACGTTAGATGTCCTAGTGGACAAAGATTGCACCCCAAGTACACTTTGCCCACTGTCAAACATGGAGGCGGGTCTGTTATGGTTTGGGGGTGCTTTTCGTGGTTTGGGATGGGACATTTACATAGAATAGATGGCATTATAGATAGGTTTGTATACACAGACATACTAAAGCATGTCATATGCCCTTAAGATCAATCTTCCAGCAAGATAATGACCCGAAGCACACTTCAAATCTCGCAAAGAAATTCTTTCTGGATGAAAAAATAACAGTTCTCAAATGGCCTTCACAGTCTCCCGATGTAAACCCCATTGAAAATCTAGGGAAATACTTAGATAAGCAAATACGAGATAAAAATTATTCAAACAAGGTTGAACTTTTTGCCGCTTTAGAGCAAAAGTGGAGACAGATTAATGAATCGTATATCAAGAAACTTTTTTTTCAATTAATTTTTTATTGAAGGGAGTCTAATGAATTTATTTATGTATAAACGAGTATTATGCTATAACGAATTATATATACAGGTTGGTGTATTAATAAAACAAGTTAAAAAAGAAATACAGCACAATAATAATTTGTCTATATACTTTTGTCCATTACGGTATATTCCGGTTTGTTTATTTTTACGTAATTTTTTAGGTACTTATCCTTACGTGACGTCATCAAACTGCAGTGTCGGCGGTGTTTGTACAGGTTTAGGCATACCGCCCCATCGAATTGGTGAAATTATAGGCGTTGTGAAAGCTTACACCACCAGAGTAGGGGATGGACCCTTTCCGACTGAATTACCTAATGTGAGTAAAACGATTCCTTTCACATAGTAACTATTTGTTCAACTGAACTTTTTCCATTTTTCTTTTTTTTATATTCATAGCATAAATATGGTATTTTTCAATCTTACATCTATATTTATTATAGCTACGTTTTCCTGCTTGTATAAGTATGTACAGGGTGGTCCAACCAAAAGATCGCACCTACATTTGTGAGTCTCCTGGTATATTTTGTACAGCCGTACAATACAGGGTGATTCAAAAATAAGATATTGCGTGACACTTACCAGATGAATGTCACTTTTCCTTTATTGCTCTATGATTTTCAAATTCTGAGGCGAGATATCAATTATGTTGTGTGTTAAAATAAATCCTGTTTTTTTTTCGTCGAGCTCGTACATGTAATTTCATGCCGGCCCACACATTTATTTTTGCATGATTTTGCGAGTGTACCTCCCGAAAGAAATGTGAATTTGAGTCACTACAATATCGACAATTATGTCAATTTACAGCACCATGTAAATACAGGGTGTCCGCAAAGTTGGGGTTTTCCTTTTCAGAAACAACTACCCTTGAAATAACAAAGGTAATGTGTAGTGAAACGAGGGCGACCAAGTAAAAAAAAAATAAAGGAAAAAGTACTCACTCTCCAGTTGACGAGAAGGGCTAAGTACGTCTCTGCCCGAAATCATACCGCTCCAACAGAAAATGCAATCAGCTGATGCGCTACCGAGCAGACGCAGGCAAACAAGGAAGGCAAATTGTTGCGTAAAAAGTCTAGGTATTGCATCCCGTCCAATCGATTTGGGAGAATAAATGGTCCAATGAGCATACCGTTCACCATGCCAGCCCAAACATTCACCGAAAATGTTTGTTGAAAATGTGCGGATTTTCTACTGACCAATCATGAGTGTTGCGAAAGTTATTCACCTCATTACGCGTGAACGTAGATTCGTCTGTCACCAATATGCACTTCAAAAAGTCCGGATGTCATGTTGATGCAACAACCACTCACAAAACCGCACTCTTGCTGGAAAATCGTCAGGTTGAAGGGCTTGTACACGTTGGTCGTGAAACGGATACAGCCCCTCTTCACGCAGCGTTTGCCACACTTTAGTTTTTGATACTTGCACTTCTCTAGCCACGTCTCTAGTGCTTGTTGAGGGATTCTCGTCGTCGGGTTGAGCTAGTGTCCTAGTACCACTCGGGGATGTCGCGGCTACAGGACGGTATTCAGATATTTTTGATGTTGCAGAGCCCTTTATCTCGGGTCCCCCGGGTGTATATGGTACTAAGAAAAATTGCTTGTTTTCAAGATCTACACGTCGTGTAAAGGAAAACCCCAACTTTGCGGACACCCTGTAGAATGTACACTCGTCCGAGAAACAAATATTAAATAACAGATTTTCATTGTTGATTAAACGTAATTCGTAAAACTCCCACTTTCTATCAAAATCGCCTTCATTAATCTCATGGACAAGTTTTGTCTTGTACAGGTGACATTTATTATCTTTGGAAATTCTCCGTACTTTTCAGCGTGTAAATCCCGAAGAAGTAGCCAGTCCACGAGTACTTTGGGTGTTGTCAAGTGCTGGTGTTCCAAAACTGCTATTTCTGCGGCTTCATTTCTAACTGGTTGATTTTCTCGACGGCGAATATTAGATACAGATCCAGTTTCTTCAAATTTTCTCATCAACTTATCAACATACAGTGCAACCCGCTTATAATGGACTCAGAGGGACTGTGACTGTTATAGGCGGATGGCCATCTTGAAAGAATCACTTTTTTAATGCAAAAAACAGCAGAAATAACATTTTAAAAGCTTAAAATGTGTTTGTTCAATAAAGATACATACAAAAAAGTTATAGGTAATTTTGAAATTTGCATTTTTTCAGAATCTGATGCACATATTACACGCATACGTACTGTGTAGGTATGTGTAAAAACCGTAAATTATTTGGTAAAAAGCTAGTAATTTTCATTCGAACAGATTGTTTTTTTGTATAATTATTTAGAACAGCAAGTTGAATTTTATTTAATTTTATAAGTATGGCTGTACTGTCTTCTTCTTGCTGAAAATAACGTTGCAGCTTTTTCACGCTGTCTAATTCCTCCTTAGTTGTCATTGGAAGCTCTTCTTCATCGTTGTTTTCTAGTTCGTCTTCCTGTTCGTTATCAACGGATCCTCCATTAACCAAATTGGAGTCTGGCAATTCCTGTGTTGCTATTAAATTATTGTCAACATTCATAATCATTAAATTTGTCTATATTCAGTAAACTTTTAATTTCCAGTAAATGACTTAATGGAATTTCATCTTCTGGACTAAAATCGTTGACTATTTCAGTTATGTTTTTCACTAAGCCAGCATGGCGAAAACAGTTACGAATCGTTTGCAATAGTAAGCAAATTTATAGCATCTAAAATGGTGGCAGCTTTGGTAATGTTGACATCTTCTTGAAGCTCCGTAATTTCATCAACATATGTTCCCGATACATTTGTTTAAGACTCCAAATGACACCCTGGTCCATTGGTTGCAGAACTGATGTCACGTTCGGTGGAGAAAATTGAAGGTTGATGTTATTAAGCGAAATATTTGGATGAGCGGGGCAGTTGTCGACCAAGTTCAGCCTCCCACTTTTTTGAAATTCTTCATAAATTGATGAAGTCATCCAAGCTTTGTTATTTCCAACATAATCGACGGGAATTGTTTTAACATTTTGAAACATCTGGGATTCTTAAGTTCCTTTGAAATAGAAAAGGTCATAAATTCTTTGCAGCACTGCCATTGAATATCAAAAAAATTACAACATGAATTTCTGTCCGTTCACTTACCTAATATCAATAGTTTCCGTTTTTCAGTACCAGTTATTCGCTCTTTTGATATTTTCCCTACATTACAAGTTTCACCTTTTAATTTATCTGGTAGCATTTTATAAAATATCCCGGTTTCATCTGCTTTGAATATGTTATCATCTGAATAATCACTGCATATTACGGGCCAAACTTAAGAAATCCAGTCATTGGTATCGTTCTTATCAAGCTGACTCACCACACATTTTTCCCAAAAACAATGTTATGTCTTTTCTTAAACCGTCTAGCCAACCAGACCTACATTTGAAGTAATCTCCAATCAATTTCCCAAATTCTTCAGCCTTTATTTGTAGCATACGTCCACTTATTGGAAAATTATTAGCACGCTTTAGTTGCAACCATTTAAACAGCATATCATTGACTTGGGGATGCACCGATAGCCGTATTTTTTCTTTTGGCTATTTGATTTTCAGTCATTTTTAATTTTGTCACGATTTTTCCAAATTTTGACACAGTGGATTTTTGTCTGGATGTAACGCATTAAACAACCAGGCAGTAGCTCATGCAATGCTTCCATTTTGGTAATACAGTTTTGTTATTTTCTTGAATGGAATTAGTCATTGCTCAGTATTTATTACAACGTGTGCGGTGTTACATTTCCAAGCGACTTACAAACGCACGCCAATATGATTTTTTTTTTTTCAGGATATTGGAGATCTGTTGCAATCCCGCGGAGCCGAAATCGGCGTAACGACGAAACGAAAACGACGCTGCGGCTGGCTGGACGTGTTCCTGTTGAAGTACACGAACATGATCAACGGCTACACGGCGCTGTGCATCACCAAGCTGGACATCCTGGACACGCTGCCAGAAATCAAATTGGCCGTCGGCTACAGTTTGCGGGGAAAAAAGATCGACTATTTTCCCTCGAACGTCTCCGATTTGGCCGCCGTCGAGGTAAGAAGCTTATATAGTCTACAAGACATCCGAAAACTTTTCGAACTAGCCAGTCAAAGCGGAGCGAAGATTTTAAACTGAATACAGGAATAGGGTTCTAAATTCTTAAGAGCAGATGTTAATCGGTGTTTATACTTTTAGCTATTCTTTATTCTAAACAAGTTCGAAGATCATAGCTATTCTAAATTTTATTTTCAGGTGGAATATCTGTCGATGCCTGGTTGGAAAACAAGTACTGAAGGTGTACGAGAATTTAAAGATTTGCCGGAAAATGCCAAAAATTATATAAATAAGGTAGAGGAGCTTCTAAGCGTTCCAGGTAAGCCCCTCAGACGAAGTTCCCCGATTTTTTTAAAAATAAAAGTAGTGGTTATGATTATGAAGAGAAGTCATTAAAACTGTAAGTGATCCGAGCTCCTCTAGTGTTTTTATTACCGGCACCCCTCACATATTATTTTTTCTTTTTCAGTGAAGTGGATTGGAGTTGGTAAAGGAAGAGAATCGATTATCACGATCCACGATTAATGTTAGGCGTACCTAAAACTGTATATTATCTTTTAGAACATTTTTAATAACTGTGTATTTCAATAGCTGATTGCTAATATTAAATAAGCCTTACAGTGTTGTGCATTGGATTTGCGTTTATACATTCATTTAAGAAGGATATCTTTGTTTAACACACTTTAATTAGCTGCGTGAGATTTAAAAAAAATAATTTTGAGATTTTGAAAAAATTGAATTTGGAAATTATTTCTGAAAAAAATTGTAAATTTTGAAAAAATCTGGAAATTTGAAAAAAATTGAACGCAAATTTAGATAAGTACTTTTGTTGTCGTTTTTGTTCATTTATTGTTTATTTGATATTAGCAATTAATAATTTTTACACGAAGCAGTATTTAAAATTACTAAAATATCTAGACCAGTCCTGTATTTTGTGATTTAGTTTATATTAATTCATATCCAGTTTTTTTTTCAGTACATTCAATAATTTATTTTCTTTATGCTGTGTTAAAACACGTTTACATGAATATATGGTAAATATTTTATTTTTAATATTCAATACTATTTTTAACATAAGATTTCCTCTATACGTATAGCTGTCTAACAGTATAAGCACATTAAACTTATTATGGTGGAAGTGAGAAATCATTTTTAACGAATATCATATTACATGTTATCAACATGGTGCCTAAATGATACGAAAAAGCACAAATTTTTGCAGTGCAATAATCTACAATTATCAAATAATAAAACACTGCTTTGAAGTATTGGATAAAAAATTGATATTTGAGGATAAGTTCTCTTGTTTTTTCTACTTGACTTGTTTGCAGTTGAAAATGTCTAGTAGAAAATATCGGCTGTTGGAAATATATTTTTAGCAGATTCATGTTGTGTATGTTGCAAATTTTTGATTAAAAAGTGCATCATTGTGTATTCCAGTTTCATTTCATACATCCCTAAGATCCCCTTTAAATATACACATATATACCTGTCAAATAACTAATACGGCTGTCTCAAAAACAATTGTAAATGAGAAACGGTAAGACATTTTTATCTGTATGTTTGGTTATTTAAATCGACTGTTACCTGTCGGTTACACGAAAACGGCCGACTAATTTATTCATATTAACTGGACTATAACAGACTCGTTACGAAACGAGTATACAGAATCCAAGAGCAATCAAGAATTTCTTGTTCTATGAAACTCGTTTCGTAACGAATATACAGAATCCATGAGCAAACAAAATTTTTTTATTCTATGAGATTCGCTTCGTAACGAGTATACAGAATCTAAGGGTAAACAAAATTTCTTGTTCTATTACAGCAGTTTTTGTCAAAACAGGTGATAGTGATGGGCGTTACGTAAGCTCATTTACATAGATCTTAAATATTTTATTTTTAATATGCGGTACAACTTTGAACATAAGATTTCCTCCATACATATAGCTGGCTAAAGCACACTAAACTTATTATTGTGAAATTGTCAATTCATTTTTAACATGATACGAAGAAGCACAAATTCTGCAGTATAATAATCTACAATTACCAAATAATAAAACACTGCCTTGGAGAATTGGTTAAACAAATCGTAGGAAATGAGGATGTTTTCGCTATTTCGGTAGAAATACCGTAAAATCGAAGGCACAAATCAAAGGTATCGAATATAAAGCACAAAACAAAGTACTCGACAAGCTCAAGATGTGACTGATGTCACTAACGACCCAGAGAAAATCACAAGAAGAAAATAAACAAAGGGTAGAGGTGGGCCTCTAAGAGTCGTTTTTGTGCATTCATTAGTAAGGCGAACTGTTTGAATGTGAAAACGTATGCGTTATTATTGTGTGATTCTTCATATTTCCAACTACGGGATGAGCGATCGTTTCCATAACATATACAAAGTATATAAAACTTCGTCATGTTCCTTGTTTTTCGTTACGTAACGAACTACACTCGATATCAAATGCAACTATCAACGTCAGTCTAGACAATCTTATCTAAAGTCACGTCATTTTTGAATGAAAAATAAAAAATTTGAAATCAACACATACTATGGATGGTACAAAGCCCATTTTTTCATCGTTAGCACAATTTTATGCAACGCAGAAGACATTTGATTGAATATTGGAATGGACTCTCAAGAAGAATGTTCGTCTAGCGAAGAACAAGACATAAAACCTATATTTCTACCAAGTGTTACCCCCGGATTAAAATCTCAAGACTTCGATTCGGAAGCGATTACTTACAACCTATCGCCTAGCTTAGTAGGCGGCTCCAAAAAGTGGTCTGTAAACAGGTAGAAAATCTTCTATCACAACCATTTACTGAAAATTCACAGTGGCATTTTACAGGAAGAGCGCCTTCCTGCCATACAGACAACAAAATAAGTGCAACACAACTGTACTGACGAATCTCCAAAGAGGGAACACACAGGCTCAAAACCCTTTGCCACAAATAACAGACGTTAATTTCCATGCAAAGGCAGGCCAAGGCGAGCTTACTCAACAAGATATTGACAATGAACCAAATGTTGATATACGGTATGTTGAATATATCCTATAATTGGGCTCATTTTTCTTTTTTTAAAGATGACCATTTGACCAGACTCTCACCTATTCGTAAGATATTTTGTATTCTCAGAATTTTTCAACCCAAAAGGAAGCTGGCGATGCTAACATCTCATAAACAGAATGGTCAAAATGTTTAATAACACCCCCCTCTGGAAAAGAAAGTACTGCTCATGACGAGAGGGTTTTGGAGAACAATATAAACTTGATCCTGACCTTGTCCACAACCTTTAAGGTCATTTAGATGTCAACATAAACGTTTTATAGAAAACTTCATTTGTTTGAATACCTGTTTATGTTCATAGATGACCTTGATTTTGACGTGCAAGGTTATTTAGAAGACAACTTGCAAAGGTTATTGTATCCCTATTCAAATTTCTCAAATTGGCCTCTAAATGACCTTGAAGGTCATAGTCAAGGTCGTCTGCGTGCGTGAGGTTTTTTGGCATCTCGGAGGAGATAAAAATACGGTTATAAACAACCTTATTTGTTTGGCTGCCTGTGAAAAGAGCAACAAATTTTACGATCGTAGATGACCTTGATTTATGCATTCAAGGTCGTTTAGAGGCCAACTTGCAAATTTTATAGTAAGTAATCGTACGTTTTTGACTCCGCAGATGGAAAGGGAAATGTTTTCGTTCGGAAATGGCCTTGACCATAACCTGAAGGTGATTTAGAGATCATTTAGTTTCACTGTTCCACTACAGTATAAAATTTCCCGTCAAATGCATCCGTAGGTTATACATTATTAAGGTTTCACTTTCAAGGTACTTTCTTCTCTAAACGACCTTGAAGGTCATACTCAAGGTCGTCTTCGACGTGATATTTTTTGGTCTGTCGCTCGCTACGCTTCCATTTAATATTCCCAGGTTGACCTCTAAATAGCAATGAATATTATTGTCAAGATCATATTCAATGTCATCTAGGACCTTTTACTCTCTTCATCTGTGGTTTTAAAATACAGTTCCATTTAAAATTTTCAAGTCGACCTCTAAATGACTTTGAAGGTCGTGGTCAATGTCACAATTGTATAGTTCTTTCAAAAACTCTCAACTTTTTTCTTGGCCATTTTATTGTTTGAGCACTATTTTCTAAGATAGGGGGCGAGTCGGAAACTTTTGGTATAACATGTTAATCTAAGCTGTTATTGACAGCATCTTTTTTTTTCTTAGAGACGAACATAACGTGGCAGCTCTGCACTGGGCGTGCCATTATGGTCAAGTAAGTACAGTGCAACTGCTTCTGAGTTGTGGAGCGAGCGTCAACCTGTTGGGCCCCGAGGAAGAATCCCCTCTCCATCTTGCAGCTAGCGGTGGACACCTTGAAATTGTCAGGATGTTGATTAAAGCAGGAGCAGATATCAACCATGTTGATCATGTATGAGTGTTGATTTCTATGTAGTTTCTCTATTCCTAGCAGACCCAATCCTGTCTGTCCTAATCTACATAGATGTCTATAAATATTGAAATATGTTGGGTTACTTCAACTTGCTCTTGTATTGTTAGATATACCTGCATAACAAGATAACTAAAAAAGACATAGTATGCTTTTGGTTGGTTAATTTAACTTTTATTTCAAAGACAGATGTGCAATAGTGCGTTGATGTATGCAGCTAAAGGAAACCATCCGCACACCTGCCAGGAACTCCTAATGAATGGAGCTGAATCTTCTTTGGTGAACCTCAACGATGATACAGCTCATTCCATAGCAGTAGAAAACAACAGCATTTTAGGTGAGTTTTCCTACATCTAGTGCGGTTTGCCATCAATGCTGAATCAAAGTTTAAGTCGATTTCCTCCCGGTTCAACTTTACCAACCGATTGGTGTTAAGTCTCAGTCTCAGTCATCTTACTTTCATTTCTTTGGACAGTGGGCTTTGTGTGTTGAAGATTTATTTAACATTAATACTTTTTGTTTAACAAGATTGCTACAGTTACATTCTTTAAAAAACTATAACAATTACATAACATACAAATAATCACAAAAACAAAACTTGCATCTCTAAGAATTTTTTTTAACCAATTCTCTGTAATTTCAAAATCTTGTCTATTAAAATCACATTGCTAGGCATTTCATGTATTCAAGTGATTTCTCAAACATTTTCAAATTCGAACACTTTAATATCATTATTCAATTTATTAAATTCAAATACTCCCTTTTGAAATATGTCACAGTTTTTCAAAAAATGGTGCTCAAAGATCGCCAATATTTTTTAGCTTATATTTTTCAAACTGACCTTTTCACCGAAATAAAAAGTACCTTTTTATGAGAAGAGTGGTTATTTATTGGGAGCTTTTACATTTGACAGGTGTATTCTTAAGTTTCTCTTTTTCCTTTTTGTTTCTCGACTTGTGCGGCCGCAATTTCACCTTCGGCAAAATGATCTTCAGATTTGAATTGCTCCTACACCATTTTCGCCAGGCTTCAATGTGCGTTTGCAAAGTCATCAACAGCCACGAAGAATAAGTGAAATCGATGGCCGCCATTCCGAAAACGGCGGAAAATGCAACGATGTGCGATGATAGCGTACCGGGTGATATGATCTTCGATTTGACCAGAGATTCGCAGATCATCATCAGCATATACGTTGAGGCAATCGCTGATGGTGTGTATACCGAGAACGCGAACAGGTCTATTATTAGATCCTTCCAGTGGTCCCCGGGGTGTCTTAAAAACACCAAAATCGACCACGGTACGCTGTACTTGGGCTCGCGGATTATTTTGTAACGGTGGTTGCAAAGTTCGCAGGTGCTGTGATCGGATTCTCGCAGCCATCTCTCGAGACATTTGAGATGCACCAGCGCTACCGTGCCTCTACATCTGCAAGGCGTTAGTAGATCGTCCTCGCTGTCTCCGCCGTGGCAAATTCGACAAATAAATTCCGTAGATGATTTTGAATCCGTTTCTAGCAACGTAACGTGAATCGTTCTATCTTGGATGTCAAGTTTGTTCGCGTGCGCCATACTCCTCGCGGCGAGCAAAGGAAACTTGTTGATTTTGGAGACTTCGAAGATTGAAGAACGATCAGACTTGAAGTTTTCCAACTCCTCGTCGTTCACGCTAGATGAGGATGAATAGTTGCTGGTTGTGAAGAGACCGACGTCGGATGACAATTTCAAATAAATTTCTTCCAACTGCTTACTGCCAGTCGATGTAACGTTGTCATCTTTAGTTTTCTTGGATTGTTGTCTACATTTTTTCAAGTAGCTGTACTCACTAGCCGTTACAACGCATATCTTCGAGTCATCCGGATGGAGATGTTCCAAATGGGGCAGGCTGATGTTGAGAACGCTGGCTGTTGATTCGGTGAAAATCAACGCGACGAAAACGTGCCTCTTGGGATTCTCTACATATTGCATTTGCAAAAGCTTCAATTTTAATGTTGTGTTTGGATGGATGAAATGGTTTTGCGAAATGTCCGACGGACATATGTCGACAGCGTGACATATGCCACACACGTTATCGTAAATATTTTTGCCTGGATTCAACATCCGGGCAGTAGCTCTTGCAATGCTCCCATTTTGGTAATACAGTTTTGTTATTTCTACCCTTTCTTGAATCGAATAAGTCATTGTTCAATATTTATCACAACTATGATTATTAGTTTTTGATGTGCATTCTATTATTATCAGTATTAGTCGAATTTTATTATAAAATCAACTAGCTTCACAACTATTGAAGTATAAACTTTATTATTACAAAGGTTACTAAAAACTACATGGAGAATATACAAATTAAAAAAATGACGGTTTCCATTTAAAAATCTAAAGTGTAAAGCAATATCTCATTTTTGGATCACCCTGTATTGTACGGCTATAGATAAAACGTTTTCCCCGAAATATACCAGGAGAGTCACAAATAGGGGTGCGACTTTTTCGTTGTATATTCTCCATTATAGTGTTTTATTTTTTTCCAGCCAAGACAGTGATAAGAAATCACCTGATTGCGAAACTTGATGCAAGAACTGCCTCACCGATAAACTCTCTGTCATCAGAAATAGACATCAAGTCATAACGTTCACATATTTTTTTATTTACATGTACTTAAATATTTTTACAATAAACTTATTTATTAAAACTGAGTTGTTTTACTTTTGTGGCGTATATAGAAATGAAAATCCCAGATTGATATCAGATATTTATTGTTACAATTATGTTTAACAGTAAAAAACACAGCGTGTGAAATACAATAAAATAGCCATCAAAGTCAAAAAGCTAATAGACTGCAATTTGAGAAATACGTTAAAATGTTCCAAACGTGTAGTATACTTGGATTAAAATAGTGATAGATCGAAACGTGCATTATCAAACAGGAAAAATTTTCAGATAGTAAATACTGACGTTAAATGTATCTCCATGCATCAAGCAACAATATAATGGCTGACTACATTATTTTAATACATTAGTCATTAGAAAATTAAAGTTTAATACCTACGAAAGTAACCCCAAAAGTGAGACCTAGTATTTTTTCAAAAGCACTAGCTCCACGTAACATCCTTGAGGAATCACTCATCTTTTAGACATGTAAAAATTGCCACAGCAACTACAAAAGTTCTTTGACTAGAATGATGGATATGTAGAAAAATATACCAATCTTTTAATATATATATAATAATGATAGAAATCCCTCGCTCTTGGAATTACTCTCGCATATGCTTCGCCTAAAGTAAATATCCTTACAAAGAACTTTAATTTATTACTTTGGACAAAGTACAACTGAGTATCACATGATATTCTAATAATTTTTGGACAACAACATTTTGCAAACCTACAATAGAAAATCTAGCTTCCTCAATTCAACCAATAACCTATCACAAAGTTTTGCATCTACATTTGTACTCTTCACAATGGTTCTGCATAAATACATTTTTTTCTTACAAGGTAAATATCTCAGTCCGCATTTCATAGATCAGACACGACTGCGACCGCTAGAAGCGGACGATACTGGCTGTACAATAGATGCGATCTACTTGCCATTGGAGAAACTAAACATGCTGCTTTTGTTCGTCAAAGGTCCATCTATTACCTGAATCGACCACTGCAACAGTCTTGTTTCAATAGATCTCATGTATGGAACAGACAATATTTGATATTACACAAAAAATAATTCTGTGAAAATTAAGTATCATTATACAAGTCCACTGCGTCCTACCTGACTATCGGATTCCGACAGCGAGTCATGGAGCAATTTCTATAGCATTTCAATGAGCAGAAGTAACAGTCTATAGGAACGTAAGTAGAGTCATTATCTGACCTATTTAGACTAACCGTAATATTTGTTAGAAAAATAAACTGAGGCCTTCGAAAGAATATTTCAAAACACGCTTTGCCACACACGCAAAATTTAGCATTATCTAAATGGTTTATCAAAGATAAAGGTAAGATGCCTGGATAATATGGTATCCTGGCACCTAGTACTTTCCTCGAGGCATATTCTTTTAAACTTCGTACTGGCAACATCGATGACATACTCAAAACCTGGCCGTTTGCCTGAGGTTCGAAATTATTATTTGACATATCCAGCATATCTAGATTTAAAAGTTTTATACTGCCAGGTAATATAGTGAGATTATTGTGTGAAGCAGATAACAATTTTAATTTCCTCATATTGCCTATACCATCTGGCAAATGGGTGAGGTTATTGTAATCTAATTTCAATGTGACAAGCTTATTAAGTTTACAGATACCGCAAGAGGCAAACTTCAGTTCATTGTGTGATATATCTAACAGTAACAGCGAGTTAACGATATTTTTTTGTATCCAACTCCACTGTTTCGGATTTTTTCCTAATGAGTTGTGTGATAAGTACAGTTCTTTCAAACAAGGTAGATTTCCTAATTCGTCAGGAATTGATTCGATGTCGTTATGTGACAAATCCAAAACGTTCAATCTGGACAGCTGCAGAATACCTCTATCTACTGCTGTGCGATGAATGTCGTTAATGTGCAGCTCCTCCAAAGTTCTCGGGAATCCTTTTAATGGGTAATCGGAGCGTTTCGTAATCGTAAGTTTCGTCTGGGCTGTTTCCTTTATAGGCATCACACTCATGCTTGACACGCTCAGCTCTTTGTCAGATATCTTATTCTCTAAAATTCGTCTGAATAGATGTAAAAAGCCTTTTAGCTGGACAACATCTCCCGTAACATAGATGTCATGTTCCGGCTGTTTGAATTGGAAGGTGCACTTCCCCTCATTGACGAATTTCGTTAAGACCTGCTTAATGTTGTTCTGGAGTTTATATTTCGTCCCCGTTTTGTCTTGCCCGCTGAACAGTATCATGCAGTACTCGTTGTTGTTTGGGTGTTTACATAGTGCTAAAGTTGACTTTTGGTATCTTCTCTGTTTGTTGAGGGATACGGTCGAGTATAATCTATTTGTTACGAAAACGCTGCAGGCTATTTTCATAATTTATGATGAATTTAACAGATTACAAAGTAAATTGCGCCTTTTTAACTCTGTTTTGTTTACTAATTTGACAATTAATGACAGCTAACAGATAGATCGCCTCAGACTCCCAGCTTTCGTTACGTAACGAAATTGATTATATAGACCAGTTAAAATAGACTTTATTACCTTATATTTCAGTTGAATCACAGATACGGTCGACTGCAATCTATTTGTTACGAAAACGCTGCAGGCTATTTTCATAATTTATGGTGATTTTAACAGCTGTTAACGTAACGAAATCATCTAAGAATTTTATCACTTGATATTCAAGTCGAATCACCGAAATCACATTTCACTTCACTCGCAGCACCTTCAAATATGCTTCTATAGATTTCAATTTTTTCTTGCAAATTCTATCGAATTGTGTCCGGAGTTTGAACCAAAAAAAGGCAAATACCTAAATATTAATTTTTACAAGCACATATTTCTGGTTTTAGTTGAAGCATAGAAATCGCATTATATTTCAAATCATCTTTGGATAGTCTTCTCGATATTTTAATTTTTCCCTGCAAACTCTACAGAATTAAATTAAACAAAACAGCGCAAATAATGAAATAATATTTATTTTTATATAAACATCATCAAAAAGTTTGATCAATCTTTAAATTATAATCTACAGAACATCCTCAAATCCATTATCATTTCTTACAACTTCATAAACAGAAAAAAGATCAATAATTAACAAAAAATTATGCACAACAAAAATGCTTTTACACAGAATTTCTTGAGGTTTTGGATCCTTCAAGCTTTACAGTGATTGAAATTGAATAGGCCAGCTATTTGACTTTTATCTAAAAATGCTTAACACGTAATTTCAACATTTTAATTTTCGTTCACGATTGGATTCAAAATTAATTATTATACAAATTATTTATTTTTCTATTGAACTGTTTGTTAGTTCTCGACAAAATGAATAAATGAAAGATATTCGAACATTTGCAATATCTTGTCGAATTCTGGCCAATGTTAAAAAAACAATGGGATATACATAAGACTATCGCTATCGATAAATTGTGACTTTTAAGCAATTATATATAAACTAGATACATAAAAAATGATCTTTACAACTATGGAAATATTACATGAAGTGTATTCTGAACCAAGAGATTCTCTCTGTGAAGCACTTTCTCCCCAAAAAACAATTTCGGCGAGATATATTTGTTTTGTATGCACTAATTTGGGAATGCCAATAGCAATTGGTATCAAGGTTCCCTTAAGGTGGGTAACAGTTCTCTAAATTCACATAAAAGTTCTAATTACATAGCCATGTTGTTAGAAAACAGACCTCATTTTCCTTTCAAAGAAAACTGATCATTCTCGAACATGACACCAACATCTGCGATTATTCCTAAGATTTTTTCTCCTCAGAATCGCTCATCGACAGAAGATAAAAAAACTCTGAGGGAGTGACGTTTTTTAGCAATAACACCGAGTAACTATAGAATCATTTTATTCAGAATAATTCATATGTTATCTTTTATAAGGTGTAAATGACTTACTTTGTAAGTATCAACAGTACATTGTTTTAAACGTACAAAGCCACAATTTAACCACATACATACAAAGTTTTATAACTGCATCCTGCACAAACGTATTTGCTAACGACCCAACCAATGAAATAAATAAGCTTTTTGGATGTATACAAAAAATTACCTCCGCTTTGGAAACGACATGCAACAGAAAAGTTAATCTACATGCTCTGCAGTTAAATTATGACTTTTAAATACCATGATATCAAATAAGGTGACCATATTGAATGCATTATTCTAATATAGAGTTTCTCCCAGTCAACTTTATCTATTTTTCCCTAATTTCATATTTAAACTTGATATAATATGCCCATTTTATATTGATATAGATTATTATGAAACACAAAATTTTATAACTACACCTGTCACAAGCTCTTTGTATAGACAGATTAACATTATCGTGACATCATAATAACATAGTAGCGAACTCAAAGTTTATGATGTAGTTATTATTATTATGCTATATATCCGCATCCCAAAAATTATCCGGGATAAAATGAGATGCTGTAGAGAAATTGTGACAACTGCTTCTCTATTTACTATATACTACTAGTATCTCATAGATGGCGCTGTACAACAGAAAGGACCTCATTTTCCTCAAACTTCTCGGCCCAGTATATGGTATGCGAAACTATAGTGATTTTTTGCACATTATTTACAAACAAACAACAAACAAAATTCCGCACTGGCCGCGAGATAAGGAAACAACCGCAAAATTGCGTTGACATTTCTCAACTAGACGATGTTCACCTTATTTGACAAACGCGTACAAACAATAAACTCGTCCATTACCACTTTTCGGCTTTCTAGCAAGTACTCACGTCAAAGTACCGCATCAGTTCAGTAATACACTCACAACTATTCACATGTATGAGGGAACGTTCGTTCCGAATCGGAAGAATATCAGAGAATCACAATTTAGACGATGAGTTTTTTTTTAAATAAAAGAAAGTTCTCACGAGATGGCCACCACATGAAAAAGATACACAATGAAATGTCCCTAGGATGGATGGTTAGAGCAACACTAGCTGTCGTTGCTAAGAGTATTGTAGCGGTTACCCAGGTTTAGTTTGGGGCCATGGGACGTGTTCATTTTCGATTGCTCCGCTTGTCTGTAATTGGAAGTTCTACTGTTGTGCACCACCTCGAAGGATCCGCCTTCGGTGCGGTTTCTGAAAAAAATATACATTATAATAACGGGTGCAGCTACCTCACCAAATGAAATATTTATTTAAAAAAACAAGCTCCAACCCCTAAGAGTTTAAAAAGTATTCATCAGACTTATTGCTGGGCCCATAACCTCAAAAAAGTGTGGAGGTGTTTGTATTACAATATGATGATACCAGATTTCAAGGCTTTGAAGGTCTCATTCAAACTCCTGATTATATCAATTTGAAAGATGATATACTGATTTATTCTTTGTTACCGGATACTCAAAGCGTTGTTCGTAATCTAAGAGCACAATTTACCCTCAGAAGGACCCTTGACCAGATCACAGATGTGCACAGATTTTTGAAATGTATGTCACCAGGCATCTTAAAAGCATACATGATTTTATGGCATAATTTCTATGTTCCTCTCCCCTTATAACGGATAAGTGTACTCTTAATTAAAAAAAACTTATATGACCTTGAAACGACTGATTATTGACCTTCAGCTCAAAGCTACTGCTTTCAAAAGACATTATACTTACTCTCCTAGGATCTGAATTGATTTTGACCTTGAGATGAACTTGAATCTTAATTGTAAGGTCAACGCCAAGGCCACTGAATAAATGACTTACTAATGGCCATTTGTCTTGAAATGAGTAAGAAGCAAGTCCTTAGATTTCAAATGATAGATATGACCTTGGTTTGACCTTTTGCGATGACCTCGAGGTCAATTTGAAGGTCGCTAGTGCACAACGGTCGTTTGTCTTGAAGACAGTAAGTTGATCTTGAAATGACCTTGTTCCCTATCCTCAAAGATAACTTCAAGGTCATTAAATATGATGCAAGAAACTTGGGAATTTCAAGTTATCAATTTCAGGTGCAACCTTGGACTTTGAGATTTGAACCTGAAATGGCAAAACAGCCTATTCTTCAAGGACACCATAAAATTTTAAGTTTATACAAGGTCATTCATTGGTCCCAGAATCGAAAGTAAAGGCTTCTATTAACCGATTTGACCTTGAAATTAACATTGTTCTTGACTTCAAGGCCAAAATAATTGTCATTAGAATAATTGAAACATGTATGGAAAAATTCCATGATAAAAATATTAGCTAAACCAGAAATGGGAAAACATTCTCTTTTGGAGGTCATCATAAGGTTTTAAGGTTATTCAAGATCATTATTCCCAGAATCTAAAGTAGTGGCTTCTATTAAAAAAAATTGACCTTGAAATTACCGATGCCTGCAAGTCATTGTCATCAGAAGTCATTTTTATAAATTTGTATAAGAATTTTTCATGCCACAGTTAATATTTTAAGCTAATAATAAGTACCCTCAAACCCAGAATCGAATGTAGAGGTTTCTATTTAATTAACAGATTTAACCTTGACATGACCTTGATTCTGGATTTTAAGGTCACCAGTTAAAATGCACAGAAACAACTTACTTCTTATGGTCGCTCTTGGAAAGTGTAGGGAAGAAATCCTCGTTATGAATGTCAGGTGCGACCTTGGATTTCAACCGTGAGTGCTGCTGCTGCAATTGGGGCCCCCCTCCCCCAGCGCCTGCGCGCATGCTCGGCGGTACGTACGCGCCTTTCACGACGTTCGGCTGTTGCGGTTCAGGCCGTTTTTCCTGCGGAGGTTCCTCCACTTGAGGTTGAGCTTCGTTATGCTCGATACGCTTCCATGGACCCACTTTTCGCTCAGATTCGGGCATCTGTTCATCTTCCTGCTGCTGTTCGTTACTGCAGAAGGAATTTTATTCTTCAAACAATTGCAAGGAGTGAATAAAAAAGTACCAAATTTAAAGTAGAAAATTCAATGGTTAGTCCCCCTGTTTAGATTTTCTTTAAAAAGAGTATGTAACTGATAACTGCACTTGCATCCTTTTTTGTCCTAAGGACAGGATCACCATGACCAACAACTTGCTTCACAAGTAAATAATCTTGGTGTCGTCTTTGACTCTCAGATTTGTTTTTTATAAATTACCTATATCAAATGAAGGATACTGTATTCTGATAGATACATATTGAATTTTAAAGACAATAATAATAATAATAATAATAATAATAACTTTTATCCAGAATGCCTTGAGGATATGAAATGTCGACAGGTAAAGGTCCGATTTACATAAGCAAAAGAAAAATAATATACACAGGACTGAATTAGAATAATATAGATGATAAGTTATAAAATAAGTAGCAAAAACAGTAGGTTTGTTTAGATGTATAAATAGTTAAATAGAAGAATATAAAAAGTATGCAACATAAATGTACAGGGTGGGGCAAAAGTCGCGAAGGGATTTGAAAAATTAATAACTTTTTTAAATTTTAATTTTAATTTTTTTCCCTAACACAAAACTAAAATGCAATGTTTGGAGTTTGTTTACAATTTAAGTGTGAAAGATTACATCACGCAAATGACCGCCATTTTCAGCCTCGCAAAGTGCAGCTCTTGCAAGAGCATTTTCCATTACCCGAGTCAGAATATCTGGCCCCAAAGCACTTACTTCTGCTCGAATATTATCTTTTAGTTGCTGCAGGGTTGTGGGTTTATTAATATACACTTTTCCTTTCAGATATCCCCAAAGGAAATAATCAGGGGCTGTTAAGTCCGGCGAGCGGGCGGGCCAATTGAATCCTGAATTTCTCGAAATTAAACGTTCGCCAAAAATCTGCCTTAGAAGGTGCATAGTGGCTCGAGCAGTATGCGCAGTGGCTCCATCTTGTTGGAAAGTCATCGTTTGATTGTCAGCAAGAGCTGGTCTTAAGAAATTTTGAATCATATCACGATATCGGTCGCCATCTACAGATACAGCATTCCCATCGTGGTCTTCGAAGAAGAATGGTCCAATAATTCGTTGAGACGTAACTGCGCACCATACTGTACATTTAAGCGGATGTAATTGCCTTTGATGAACCACCCTTGGGTTCTCGGTACCCCATATTCTGCAGTTCTGCTTATTTACGAAGCCATTCAAATGAAAATGGGCTTCATCGCTCATGATCAGAGAATGAATAAATTCATTATCTTCTCAAGCCATTCTTTGCAAGCGAACTGCATAAGTTAGTCGTTCTTGAAAATCTGCTGGTTTTAGTTCTTGCACTAGCTGCACTTTATATGGAAACAGATGTAAATTTCCTCTTAATATTCTGCGTAAAGACTTTTGAGACATCTGCAGCTCAGCAGAACGTCTTCGGGTTGAGGTTTCCGGATTCTCCTGAACACTCTCCTGAACGCGTTGAATGTTCCCTTCATTTCTTGCGGAACGTGGCCTTCCGCTTCGTGGGAGATCCATAACTGTGCCTTGTTGCTGAAATCGTGCCACTAAGCGTCGAATCATTGATTCAGAGGGCGAATTCCGCAAATTGAAATGACGACGATATGCTCGTTGAGTTTGAATTATTGAATGGTGATATTCAAAATAAAATTCTATAAGTTTGGTTCGTTGATTGAGGTTGTAACGCTCCATAATTAATCTCCAGGATTTATTTTACACGGTCCTGAAAAAAAAAATGAAAACAAAATAAATTTAAAAAAGTTATTAATTTTTCAAATCCCTTCGTGACTTTTGCCCCACCCTGTATAAGTAAAATAATCAATAAAATAGATGAATATGTGATTATTAAAAATTATAAAACTCTTGTAGAGAGTAAAAACAGTTCGGGCACAAGTGTGTTGTTTATATTTTTTTAAAATTGAATATTTTATGCTTTCTGAACGGTGTATGATCACTATTTAAATTCAGTTGATTTTGTACACAAACAAAATACTATGAAAGGTTAAATCTCACTCAGCTGAGTTTGATCAGAGGGTAAATGAGATTTGGTAAAAAGAAAGTGCAATAATGAATTGTGTGAAACACAATTTCAGTGTTAAAAATCATGTAAATAATGACAATATATAAGAACTGGCACATATAAAGCACTTGGCATTCTGCTCTACACCACTCCAATTGAAAAATCAAGGTCTGGAATCATTCCAGAAAATGTATATGCAGTTCTGGATCAATACTAGATGCTGTTTAAATAAATATATCACAACTTTGGAAGTTCTGAGTTGTATTACCTGGAAGTTTTTGTGGTTGTGGCATTTTCATCAGTATTGGAACCAATGGTTAGATTGCCGATTTTAAGGCCGGAATAGTCTTTCTTCTCCTCTTCGAAGTCCTTCCATTCATCCTGATCCTGCAAGAAATAGGTGGTTCGGGCCACTTAAAAAAACGTTGCAATATGGCTACTGCTTTAACCTCAACTCCTTAATTTAACACGTCATTTTCGTCGTTTTGGACGTTGAAAAATCAAAAACTTACGTGCGTCGAAGACTGGTTCTCCTCCCCCTCAACGTTTCTCGGTTCTTTTTTCACCTTTTCAGTTTTTTTGGCACTGTCTTCCAGTTTCTTAGCCACTTCCTCGGTGGTCGAAAACTTCTTGGAGCCCTTCGACTTCTTACGGTCTTTCTTTGCGAAAAAATCATCCAGATCGGCCATTGTCTGTTCGAAACGAAAAGTTGAACTCACGAAAGAAAAATTTGGAATTTTAGAAAAACGAGCACTTTCCGTATGCGGATCCAGCCACAAAAGACAATCGGGAAAACGACACCGACTGTCACGATGACGTTTGATAGGTCATTGGAGAATTCTTGTTCCGTCTCGCGTCCTATTTATGCATTTCTATGGTTCTAATCATTCAGTTGCCTCAGACTCTTAGAGCTTCGATACGTAACGAGTCAAATTAAATAGGCCAGTCATTTTATGTTTACTAATGTTAAAATATCAAAGAATCGTTGTTCGACGAGCCATCAATTTTGTACTATATTAATATATATGACCATTTAAAGAAAACAGTTCTATATAAGAATTAAGTTGCTGCGCAATTTCTTTTTATTATACTGTTTGTTTCAAAAAAATGGTATTGAATAGTATAACTAACCATACTCAGATTGAATTTTAATATTTGGGGGAACGATTTTTGGGTCCACTTTAAGAAAACTTCATATGAATGGATGTCCCAAGCATCTTCACTTTTGAGGTACAAGGTGGTAAAGTTTCAAAAATAAATCATTTATTATTAATATCTGTAGGATTTTTTTCATAGAAATTTGGCATAGCTACAATTATTTGTAGTACGTTCGTATCAAGATATTTTTTTAAGGGACTATATTTTTTGATTTGATTTTTTCAACCAAATGAAACTCATTTCTCTGCAGGATCATAATACTGATGATATGACAATATCACCATGCAGAGAAATGTTTTTTCTTGGTGGAAAAAAATTCATTAGATCAAATCTTTCCATAAAATTGACCCAAAAATCGGCCCCCTTTAAATATTGACATTCAGTTATGTAACTGCCTGTATACTTGATATCGGAAACAAGAGGTCATAATTTTCATTAAAAATATACAAACTTCATTCTGTAGCACCTTTTAAGGAAAAATACATTACAACTTTCATCTAATTTTTTTTTCTAAATGGTCATAAAAAACTAGAAGTGGCCAATTTATAGCAGGACGCCCTGTAAATAATATAATAATAACAAGTTACAACAGTCCTTTTGTGTCAAACGTTGATAAAATTCAAGTCACCCGCAGGAATGAATAAAACACCAGAATCTCTTTAAAATTACATCTTAATATATTTATATTTATAAAATATACAATTTTATACATAAGCAAGGGATAAAGGAAGAGGAAAAGAATCATAAGAAATCCATGTCTAAAGCGTTGTACAGCGCGGCTATTTCGCTGTGACTGGTTATCCGCCAAAAGGGAAAATTTAAAGCTTTGGCAGCAGCTTCTTCGTCTTGTCCATCGCCTATTACAACATAGGTGCACTCCCGGCCAAATCTTGCTACTATCCTTTCGAAACAGCTTGCTTTTCCTGAAACCGAAAGAAAAACCAGTAAAATATCGAAGCTTTTAGTTTGGATTAAAGGGTTGTTAGTCTAAGATCCATATTAAGCTTCACCAATCTGACCAACGAATTCGAACAGTTTACAAGTCTGGTTGTTTACATGGAAGCTACCCTATTGGTGCAAAGTAACGTCTCTTCTTTTGACGAAATCCACCCCAAGAGTAGGGTTGTTCTTACCTATTTTTGTAGCAGAGTAGATGTTGTCGATGGGAAACACCCCTCCTAGACCGAACAGAAGTATTTTCGCCAGCGCCGGTACGAGTTGCGTCGTCGTGACCAACACATTGACGCAATTGCTCCTAGAATTGATCAGCGTCAAGCATTTGTTCGCTAACGTCAACCAGTTGTCAGTCACAGCCTCGATTTCAGCTCTAAGTTGCAGCCAGTCATCTCGCTTTGACGCCCCTAGCAAGCCTCCAACGCTGAAAAAAAATTGGCGTCAAGTACGTTGACACAGTACTTCCAATGCAATGCTGATATCATTAAGAACATGTATAACACAAAAAAAGAAATGGATCAAGTGAGATAAAAAGACACATACAATAGTTGATAGTCTCCACGCTTTGTGCTACAACTAAGACATTTATTCTCTATCCTTACAGGCAACAGATAGAACGCTTCTTTTCTAGGTATTTGAAGTCGCAAAAAACGCGTAGTTGTATATTCTTTGAAGGAGACAGTATTTCTACTACTGCTATGTATGCCAACACAGTAACCTTTGCATCATTATTGACGTTTTTTTAAATTTATACAAATACTAACCTGTTCCTATAATTGTTATACGTCTCCTTGATCTTCCTATACCTAAACGCGAGTTTTCTCATCCAGTCTACCCCACCCCTGACCCCCGAAGCGAGGCATAGGCTTCCCCCACTACCCGCAGTGCCCCCTGCGCTGGTCTGGAAGCCGTCGGCTGCGAAATTGTAGTTTGACAGATCTTGTCCGTTGTCGTCCGAGGATACGTCATCTATGTGAACTTGATCACACTCCTGAGGATAATTATAGTACATTACATTCGTTTCGGTACCATCAAGAAGCAGAAAAAAATTTAAATAGACGCTATAAGTCTGTTGTGAACTATAGATAGCCAATCAAGACCACCAGCAATCTACAAGACTTTTATATGTTATTACTATAAGAAAAAATATCTTTCATGATATCTAGCTAATAAGTAGAGATTCAAAGTATTCACAAAATTCCTCACCTCAATATCATTGAAGAAAAAATGTGTATCTGCAAGGTTAAACACCATCTCCTCCATTTTGAACCCAAGTTGAACAACACTTTGAGTATCCTTTAACAAAGAACACGTTTTTATCATATTTCAAATTGGTATAATCAGAATTGTAATAAAATCATCTAAAAACTTATGTGAGGTATGGACCCAGTGATCCTAAAGCAATCCATGTATTCTTTTAAACCCTGTTGCAAAACCGAGTTTTTTCTAATTAACTGTTTTTTCTGGCAAAATGACTCTTACCTACATATCTATGTAGGTAATTTTTTTTTAATTTGTGTTTCAGGACCCTGTTTACCTTTTGGTATTTTGTGGCATAGCTGCCAGTGAGCAAACTGTGGAAAATAATAATTGTCTCATCGAGGTCCCAAATGAAGACCCTGTTTGTAGCGGACTCAGGTTTTGTAGGAGATACAGTGTTTGTTCTTCTACCCCTTCCTCTCGTGCCCCTGGATTCCCCAGTGCTGTTTGCTGTGTCACCCCTCGATCTTCGAGCACTGTCTACTTTCAAAGGTGATGTGGAACCACTATCTCCTAGGGAGATGCCATTCGTTGAATTATCTGAAATTTAAAAAATCGTACTTTTTAATAGGTAAAAAATTCAATTTCATTCCCTGTCTATACAAACAAACTAAGCGCTCTAGAGAAAAGCTAAAATAGTATGCCTTTAAACCTTGTTTAAGAATATCAAGTCAATGAGGCATTTATTGTTTCAACATTACCGTCATTTTCTGTGTCTGACTCACTGCTGGTATCACTATAAGCACATAGGGACATTATCATCTGCCTTTTCTTTAGTCGATTTTACTGAATAATCGAGATTTTCATTTATAATTAATTTAAAATACTTCTGACATTTTAGATTGTGTTTATAGTTTTTGTTTACCATGTAAAGACAACGTTGCCGGATCAAATTTAACCACAGCCTTCCATCGAGTATTTTCAAGATAGAAGGTGACAAATCGATACAAAAAATCACGTTATCGAACATAACATTTGAATTGATTCCAAGTTCATCGAAGGGTCTTTTCGATTGAGATCTATTTATTAGAATTTCCGTATTTTATTCCAAACCATATAGCAAAAATCGTAATAAGTAAGATAAAATGCGAAGTTTGGCAACGTCGATCATTGTTGTCAGAAACAGATGATGTTTATGAAATTCTTTAACCTCGTTTTCTTGTACTTATTTTCGGTCTGTCTCATCTAGATGGCGCAAAGATGAAGTTTGTAGCGTCGCTATACGATGACGCCACTATATGTTAATTTTCAATATTACAGTGGCGTAGCAACAGGGGTTTAAAAAGATCGCGTTTCCCACAAATATACGAAAATGAGATATAAATCAAAAGCATGAACAATTTGATGCAAACAGATATTTGCAACATAACCTCAAAATAGAGCGCGAACTCGGAACTGTAGAAAACAATGACAATGAAAATCAAGGACTTCATAAAGACTTCCTCAAAATACGACCCTAAAAAACACATTGTGGTGTTATGAGAAGTGATTGAGAGATATGCATATTTTGAAGTTTTTCTAATTTCCTGATAAATGATATTATTTTGACTAAAAAATGCTACCACAAAACATCCAAATGATAGGTAGTAGGTATTTTAAAAATCTTTGGTTCTGTGACTGACAATGCTATATGAAGTGTATAGAGGTCCGACAAATTTGTGCACAGCTAATTTATTAAAGATACGAAAAGTATTAGAGATACGACAATCTAGATACCTTTTGCCATTAATGTGCTAGGGTTAAATGTTCCAATGTCGAAGAGGAAAATATGAAATTATTCAAACATATAAGCACTACCACGCATAACAGCTATCTTTTTATTTCTAAATATGCTTCCTGTTGTCACGCTAGTGTATTTGAGGTTTTGTAGAGCTGAGGAATTTCAAGTTTTATCTGATTTGGATTTTCAGTATATACTTCATTGAAAACATTTGCATCTACAACATAAAGGCAACCAGAGTAAGTAGCCCAAAGCACTAAATGCTTTCATCAAAACATGAAAACTATACAAAAAATCAAAATCTGCTAATTTCGTACGCGTCGCTTCTTCATACACCACAATGTATATTTCAACAGTTTTTGAAATGACTCTCCCAGTAATTCTGTAAGGCATGTGGGAAAATCCTGGGAAATTCAGAGGAAATTTGCATCTGGCAACATTGAAAAATGCGCGTGCGTCGATCCATTTGGCTGTCAAGCTTCAGCCATTATGGAGGTTCCATTGTTTTTTTTTTAATTTTTATCGACAACAATAACAAAAAAGAAAACACAAAACATCAAATTTTTTCTCTTACCTAAAATTGATGATGTTGTCAGTTGGTAGGAACTGGCTCCTATACTTCCGCTAGAACTGGGCGAGCTGACGTACGGTGAATAACTTTGAGCATAGTAACTTGAAGCAAACTGAGACGTTTGTGAATCTGCGTAGGTTGTACCATATGAGCTGTATTCTACACCCTGAAAAAGAAAGAAAAGATATGTGACATGCCATAAAAAGAATTTGTACAACAAAAAACACAAGTCTGTTGATTTCTTCTTCTATTGGGTCATCTACTCTTTGCATCTCGAAGTTTATAATAAAATGGCCTTTATACAAGATAAAGAAAAGAGTTTTAACACCCTGTACATTATATCATCCTTACCTGAGCAGCGAACCCCTGTGAGAACGCCCCTGAAGCGGCCGCTGTCGGTGCCGTATACGCAGCGTACGCCGAGTATTGCGACTGTCCACTGGGGGCGGTGCCGAAGGGCGAAGGAGCGGAACCGTAGCCCGACGCAGCGTTCACTTTGCATGCCGCTGGATTCAAAGCCCCGCCCCTCGCTGCCGCAGCGGCCGAATAGGATGCGTAGGCGGGGCTGCCGTAGAAGGGGGAAGCGGCGGCAGCTGCTGCGGCTGCGATGTAGGCGGAGTTAGGGGCGGAGCTTGCTGAGGAAGCGGAGCCGTACGTACCAGGCGTAGGTTGCATGCTGGAAATGTGGTATTAGTAAATAAATGGGAAAACAGTGTTTTTTATTAGAGATTTGAAGTAGGTAGTGTGATAATATATTCACATAGAAATACCATCATACCATTTTTTGACCACATTATGTATATACAATGTATATGTGAGGTCTTACAAACTAATTTATTATCTTTTCGAGTGACGCATAGCATCAACGTATTCATCAACTGAACAGAAACAGTGGTTAAGTGATCTTTTTTAGCAAACTTTGAGATGTAGGGATTAGGCCTATTTTCAAAATTATGTTCTTTATTTGCATCGACGAATAAATTATATAATTTTGGCCTAAACTGCGAACTTCGGGATTTTAAAGAACAAAGTGCTAAAATTCGTAAAAAGAAAATAACATATATTCATATGCAAATATTTCAAAGATGGGATCAGTTTAAGAGTCGAGTCATTTTCCGGAAAATCCCCTTATGGACCCTAATTTTGTGAACGTGCGATGTGTATAAGCAAAATATGTGCCAGGTGACCAAGTTTTTGAAAAATCTAAGGTATAAAAAATGTTTCTTACCTATTGTAGTAGGGATGAGAATAACTTTGATGATAATCCTTATCGTAAATATTGCCTATGTCCAAATGTGAACTGTAAAATGAGTCCTGGGCCGATCCGACACAGTCGGATTCAGTTAGGCTTGGACTCCGAATTTCAGTTTTTACACCTAAAACAGAAAAATGAGTGGAAAAGTGTTACGAATATGGGAAAAATTATAATTATGTTGTGCGTTTTGGGGTTTTTCAAAGATTACAACGAAAAACTTGCATCAGGTTATGCAACGCGCCACAGATCCTGATTCACCCAAGACGTCAGTTTATATATATAGATTGCTGAGCTAAGAATTTATGAAAATTTTCTTCCAAGTTAAAAGAAGTCCGATTTTGAGATAGAGAACGGTTTTGCTAGCAAAAGTGGGAATATTAACAACATGGCGCGCCCGCAAACGTCATCATAAAAAATGTGTTTTTACATTTCATTTGTTTAATAAATAAATTAACCGTCGTATTTTTCACTTATTTGTCGTTATATCAACAATACCCGGCTCTTCTTAACCATTATACTTAATGCCCAGGCAGAGACGTTACAATTAGAATATCAACAACATATAATTAGCATATTAACGACATTGCCCGCCCCCAATGGACATTAACGTTATTGTCCGGCCGATTAACATTAATGCCCAATTATCGTCTTGTAACTGAAATCCTACTAATAATAATGATAAATGTCTTTACTAAGAGATTATTACCTTGTGTGTCAAGTAGCGGCCATGTTGAAGACGAGAAGCTTGTGGGCGGCAACGCAGGTGCAGGCGGCATCGAATCGGGGGTAGCGTGGGCGGCGGGGGCAGGTGCGGGAGCGGTCGCTGCGGAAGGGGAGGGCGGTGACTCACAGGTGGAAGAGCCGCTTTGGCCGCCCATTGGGCTGCCACCTCCATCTGACGGCAGACTGGAATGAGAGATGAGAAATTAGTTACAGAGATCGAGTCTAAAATGGCGTCAAGTAGTTTGACTCTACGTCTTTAAGATATCGTCCAGCGTTCACAATACGTCTTTACGACGTCTTTAATATCTCAAAATGACGTTTTTAAGACGTCTTTAATATCTCAAAATGACGTTTTTAAGACGTCTTTAAGATAGTTGGGATTATGGGCGAATTATACATCGTACCTTTATGACTTAATTCTCTCATTGTGACCCGGATCAACGAAGTTTCAGCATTTTTTCGTGTTTTGCCCCTAACTCGGCTACTACTGGATCGATTTTCAAAAACAACAAAGCGTTTCCATCCTTGCGATAGTAGTAACCTTGTATGGAAATTTCATCAACATCCGAGCAGTACTTCTCAAGTTATGCGCGGTTATAAAATTAGCGGACCGACAGGCAGACCGTGACATGATTTTTCGTGATGTACATGTCAAAACAACCAAAAAACAATTTCTCGATTTCAAAATTTTTCACGTTTCGGCACAGGAAGAAAAGTTGGAACGCGTTTTTCAATTTGCAGACGACCACACTCCTGCTTTGAAATTTTCAATCGTCGATACGCCCCGAGACGGATACTTTAATGGTCATAAATCCTGAGCCCGACCCTCCAAAAAAGTTCAAATTCATGAGATGGACCCTTCTCCAAAATATTTTCTAGATACGCCCCTGTATCCAACAAATGCATCTATAGAAAATGTATCCGTAGATTTTTAGCGCTCGCTGGACACGAATGCCTTCGCATACTCGCTGTCTGTGCGAAATCTAATCCTCTTTGAGATAAAGTGTGGATAAACTCGAGCGGGCCGGAGACTGACACAGACGTCGCTGAAATATGCATAGTAAACAAAGTCATGCAGTCGCCAGTTATCCGCATTTTTTCCGCTTAGACCGTGCTTTCTGGCCGAGTTTCCAGACGCTAACGAGCGAATTTTTGATGGGAAGCAGTTACAAGGTTAAATAAGCTTTTTATGTAATGCTTATGTTTTCCAGATTCACTGTTTGCCACAAAACCAGAAGTGATTCGTTACATAATAGTCCAAGAAAATAAGGAAATCCTACCATTTGGGCGACAGTAAATTTTATGATTTGAAGAATTGAGAAAATACATTGCTTTTTACCCTTAGTTAGATCTTTTAAGGGTGGTGCAATTTGTGTTATATAATTGTAATATTACGACTATTTTGTTAAAAAAAGGCGTCAGAAGGTGGGCGCGATATCTATACAGGGCGTTCGAAAAATAGACGGAGATATTTGAGAGGGTGTTAAAAAATATGAAAAAAAAGTTTCTATAAACATGGGTCCGGAAATGCACAGTTTTCGATTCTGTTGAAATTTGGCAATATTATTTCTTGTATTAACTCTTTTAAGTACGGTGGATGACATATTAAACCACTTTTTTCTAGACCTTGAAGGTACTGTGGAGCAATATATATACCACCTAAACAAAATTATTTATTGAATAGGGACACCGGTTTAAACCCCGTACCGCTAATGGAGGCGTCTAATAGGAGTATAAAGAATCAGCTGACACGATTGTTTTTCATATTTGGCATTGAGGTTAGAGTCTGTTACAATCAATGTGAGTTCTTGCACCACGTGTCGTTAGTAGCCGCCCTGACAAGTATAAATTAGCTATTTTTACTGGTTTTTCTTTGCAAAAATCAAGTGAGACGTATTCAGCAGAAACTATTTAAGGTAGGGCAATATAGTTTTTGAATATAAATGCTTCTTTTATATTGTCATTTTGGTTTATTTTCTAGTGTTCATAAATTGTACCACCGTACCATGAGTAAAATGAATCGCCAAGAACCTCTTACCTTCAAATTAGTTGATATGACTGAGGACGAACTTTATGACGAAATTGCTCATATAGGTGATGATTTTGCTTCAATTCCTTCTGATGGTGGTTCTGATAATGACAGTGACGCTGAAGAAGAGACGGGAGATTTGCAAGAAGATATGCATGTAGATGTGTTAGAAAATAACTCTGGTGATGAAATTATAGTTTCTGGTTCGGATATCGAATCGCCTGATGAATGGGACTCTGATGATCTAGCGCGCTTAGCGACATTGGCTCAAAAATGTAAAAATCAAAGACCAGTTTCATGGAGTAATCTTACAAGTAATATGAAACTGCCTGCAGATTTTGTAAGTGATTCTGGACTACCTCGTTCCATTCAAGATCGTGAAACACTCAATCCTTATGAAGCGTTCAATTTGCTTTTCACTGACGATATTTTAAATCACATTGTTTTTCAAACAAATCTTTATGCAGAGCAGCGATATCAAGATACAGGAAAACCCTACAATAAAACAGATATCACAGAAATCAAAACATTTCTAGGTATAAACCTTCTTTTCGGCATAAAGAAATATCCAAGTTACAGAGACCACTGGAGTACATCTGCTGACCTTCGCGATCCATATATAAGCAAATTAATGACAGTACATAGATTTGGTTGGCTTCTCACTCACATCCATCTAAATGATAACAGCACAATACCAGAACGCGGCTCAGACCGTTACGACAAACTTTATAAAGTGCGGCCGTTATTGCAATTTTTATTAGAGAATTTTCAATCATGCTTACAACCACATGAACATCTTGCTGTAGATGAAGCTATGATTAAATTTAAAGGTCGCTCCTCCCTAAAACAATATTTACCCAAAAAGCCTATCAAAAGAGGTTACAAAGTATGGGTTCTTGCCGACAAAACCGGGTATTGTTGGAACTTTGAGATATATACTGGAAAGGTTGGAAATGAGACAGAGAAGAATTTAGGAGCCAGAGTTGTCAAAAGTTTGACTGCCCAGGTTATAAATAAAAATCATCGAATATATTTCGATAACTTTTTTTCATCAGTAAAGCTTATGCAAGATCTTCTTGATTTAAAATTATTTGCTACTGCAACAGTAAATCCTAACCGGAAAGATTTGCCCAAATTTAGTCCTGACAAATCTTTAAAAAGAGGGCAATATGAGTGGCACACAAGTGATATTGGAGTGACCGCAGTAAAATGGCGCGATAAAAGAGCTGTCCACTTACTATCTAATTATCACAATCCTACAATAATTACAGAAGTCAGAAGGAAGGAAAAGGACGGCACTGTAGTTCAAATACCATGCCCTGCTTTACTTACCGACTATAATAAAAACATGAACTTCGTTGATAAGTTTGATCAAAAGAGAGGATCCTATGGGATTGACCGGAAAAGCCATAAATGGTGGCACCGAATATTTTTTTTCTTCTTGGATGCAGCTGTAGTGAATGCTTTTATTATATATCAACTCCATAATGACTGAATTTCTCCAAAACTAACTCTAAAAGATTTTCGAAGACAAATTTCTCAACATCTGGTAGCCAAATCACTTGTGCAAAAAATAACACAACCCATGGAGCTTTCCACAACGCTGAAAAAACATAAACCTTCAGTACCAGAAGCTGTAAGATTAACAGAAAGCTCACATCAACCGATGAGAACCAGCCGTCGGAGATGTGCCTTTTGTAGCACGAAGAAAAAAGACATCCGAACCAATTGGCAATGTAATGTTTGTAATGTTCCTCTATGCTTAGGGAAAACAAGAAGCTGTTTCCAGAGTTATCACAGAAAATAATTTCCATTCAAGCGGTATTCGAAACAAGTTTCTCCCGGTTCTTTTTTTTCAATTCACGGCGCTACCATTTATGTATTTTATTTTATGTATGGTGGTGGAAAAAATAAACCACCCTGTATTTTTTTTCTAAACAATTTTTTTTTTGATATTGAGTAAAATTTACGTTAAATGTAGTGCCCTCATTCCAAACATGTAATCATTTTTCAAAAGTTTAATAAAAATTTTTCTTGTACCTTTCTGGTTTTATTTTCAAGGCAATTCGTGTACCTGAAAGAGTTAAGACGCTAAATTAGCCCTAAATAGATTAAAATTATTAGGTCCAGTGGCATCCCGGGGAGCACCTTAGCGATTATTGTTGGCAAAAAATGTACGCGACTGCCTTTTTTGTAACTTTAATATTTGTTGTTTGATTAAACGTCTAGAAATAGAACTCTTGTATTTTTTCGTATCTCACTTCGTTTCCGAGGAAAAAGAAATAAAAACCGTTTTATTGCATGTTAATGGACAAACTTCGTTTATTAACTTTTGTTGAAAAAAATCACAAGGGTCTTGAAAGACAAAAAATCATTTCTGCATGGAGGTTTGACATTTGCGCGTCAGTTCTGGAAAATAATTATTTACGTAAATTTCTTTGAGAAATTTCTCTAACAAGTTTTCTGTTTTTGTGATGGAAACCTTCACTTTTGAGTAAATGGCAGACATGCATGTTATGTATGCATGTGTTTATAGTAACTGTTATGCAGCGATGCGCCAGGATGGAGAAGCGTTTCCCTATCGGCAACTTCTAGATAGTTAATAGGGTATCTATTTTAACTTACAAAAAAGTAAAAAAAACTTTTGTTCCCCAGGATCGAACCTGGGACCTCTGTATCCCCATCCAGCCATCTAATTGCTACACCAAACAGTCGGCTGTGCGTTTGTTTCAGAAACATCTACATAGTGGTACCTAACCATAGCCAACTAGATAATGCGGAGATCGAGATAGCTGCTGAGTTGACACGGCGATCGAACGGTTCGATTTTGTGGAATGTGAGAAGCAGGCCAGCCGTCGCAAGACGACCGACGAATACTGTAACAGCGCAATTGTGCACCAGCTGGCGATATTTCTGTAGATTTGATACTTTTTTCAATGTTGCAGTTAAGAATGCGCGGAATGGAATTTAAACAAATAGGAAATTTTTTTCGTTTGAACATATCAATTTATGGTACTCCGTTTATAACGATTCTCTGAATATTTCGTCAAGTAGGCAGACTCAGTAGTTATGATGCATTGATACACAACAGACACGGACTGACAAATCGACATAAATGAGAAACACGGACTTGTGTGATGCAAATATATTTAAGCAATGGACACAATTTTTGGCTTGGCAGCATGAAGATCCGATTTTTTTTATAAGACTTTGCAAAAAAAAAAGGCAACAGCATATTTTTCCAAGAGGATACAAAGATATCTGCATCACACAAGTCCGTGTGAGTCAGTCTACTTGACGAAATATTCAGAGATAAATGGAGTACCATAAATTAAAGGTTAGGCAAATAAATTCCATAGATCCCCATAATCCCTAATTACAATTTTGTTGATGTATGTTCACACGAACATTTTTTCCTATTTGTTTCCGCGCATTCTTAACTGCAAAGTTGAAAACAGTATCAAATCTACAGAAATATCGCCAATTGGTGCACAATTGCGCTGTTGCAGTATTCGTCGGTCGCTGTGCGTCGGCTGGCCAGCTCACATATCACAAAATCGAACCGTTTGATCGCCGTTTCAACTCGGCATCATCTAGTTGGCCATGGTTAGATACCAATATGTAGATGTTTCTGAAACAACTGCATAGTCGACTGTTTGGTGTAGTGATTAGATGGCTGGATTAGGATACAGAGGTCTCGGGTTCGATCCTGGGAAACTAAAAGTTTTTTTTTTACTTTTTTGTTTGTTAAAATAGATACCAGATGCCGAGATATCATCTTACTGTCAGAAAAATCACGAAATTGAAATAAGAAAATGTACCTCTTTCGCGTAATCTAAGGTCTACGCTTTCAAAGATTTTACTAATTGGAAGTTGCTGATGGGGAAACGTTTCTGCATTCGGGCGCCTTGCTGCATAACAGATAACCAACGGGAAATTGTCGATTGATGTGGCGCTTCGTTACCGAAAACAGACAGTAACTCAGCAATGCATTCTTGTTGCGATAATTGTCTCTAAAAGTTGTAATAAATTATGGCTCGAAAATGTTCTCGGTTGAATTCCATTTTTCTAATGACTTGGTAACACTTAAAAATTCACTGTAGTGAGAACACTGCACGTATTGTTGTGAAACTTTGAATTTAAGTTTACTAAAGTACTATGTTTCTATATGCAAAACTTGAAAGACATCCCTCGTAAGGTGCCCCCCTGGATGCCATTGGACCTAATAATTTTAATGTATTCAGAGCTAAACTAGCCTCTTAATACAACAAATAATATTACTAATATAAGAACATCGTGGTTTGAGTGTAATTTATTGAGGTTACTTGGTTTCGTGAGGTAATATTACATACACATTAAGTAAAAACTTTTCTGCACATAATGAGCGGTAGTGATGTAGGACAGAGAAGGAATCATAGGGAAAACTTTCAGGGGCGTAAGAGACAATCTAATTGGGACACGATTTGGCAACGTCCATACTTGGCGAAGTAAGAAGAATGATAAAAGAGAGAGAGACTGTGCGTGGGCGTGGGCGACGACGTACGAGTCGAAAACGAAGCAACCGACTCCGCGCTGTTGCCAGATTTATTTCCGCGGATTACTCGGGCTATCTCTCTTGCACGCGCGCCGTCTCCAAATCATCTTTGTCTTTGCCGAAACAGTGATCTAATGGTTCTTTTTGACGCCATTGTACTACACGAAGAATTGTACTAGAAGTTGTTTCGAATGCGTGGGATGTACAGATTCAATGTATTTGACGTCATTTTTTTAATAAACTTTTACGAGCTGTTCGCCCTGTATACTGTATAATGCCACCGGATAATTCATAACACAGATGATGAAGATAAAAGATAATTCCTCTCCCCTTCCAGCTCCCGACATTATGCTGCCCAAATTGGTGTATAAAATTAAATGTACAAAAGTGACAATCTCATTATCCGAATAGAAAAGCCCCAAGGGTTGGGAAATAATAGGTGCATGCGTGCATGGTTACGTCAGATAAAAAAAGAATCAGGAGCGTGCGTAGGTACCTTACTAAACAATAGAAGGTGTTGAATAAAAAATAAAGGTTTCATTGTAGTTGGTTAAGAGACCACAGATGGCCTTTATGAGAGAAAATCTTTCAATATTTTTTAAAAATCTGTACTAAATTCTCCATCGCCGAAAGCCTTCAAGGGCCAAGAGTTTTGATTGCCTTTATACAATTTTGTACAACGATGCACAGCGCAAAGATAAAATTTAGACTGACCAGAAAAGAGCACCAATACTTGTTCTTTTTAACAAAAGGAAAACAAAAAAAATGAGTTTCATGAATTGTCGTGTACAGGGTGGCCCAACAAAAAGGTCGCACCCCCATTTGTCACTCTCCTGGTGTATTTTTGGGAAAACGTCTGTTCAACTATAAGATATTCCGATATTTAAATTTTAATTTTTAGTAACTTTTGTATAATAAGGTTTATAGCTATCTTTAATCGTTGTGAAGCTATTTGAGTTTATAATAAAATTCGACAGAAGTAGGTCAATGTGTCACATTTTCAATCTCTATGATCTGAGTATTGTAAAAAGTGTAGTAATAAAAATTTCAATTTTGAAATTCGCGCGCTTGTGTTTGCCGAACGACATGGCCACTGACGTTCGATCGTTGACAATTGACAGAAGGAGGAGATGGAAGTAGGTTCCGGTCGACAGAATTAATGTTTATTCGCTTATGGTGTTTTAATAAAGTTTATGTGTTTAAACGTTTAGTAAGGTGTTTTCATTAATGACATTATTAAAATACAGTGTCCACAGGCCCGATTACAAAAGAATGGAACAATAAGCGCTGTGAGAGTTTTTCCGTAATGTGTAGATGTGGTATGTACGCCACTGGAGATAAACCTCGGTAATGAACGGTGGGGCGTTTCCACGTTACCAAGGGTACCGTCCACCCATCGTTGACTGGGTATATCAAAGGGCTCTCACATAATAATGATGATGATGCTCGAGAGCACCGCACGTTGTTATGCC